ATGGGAGCAAGCTGATGGGTCTGTATGATGAAGGAAAGTCAGTGTTTTTGTTAGGTTTGTGAATCATTTTTATGAATGAGTATTTCCATTGTAAGGGGAATTTAGTCGTTCTGAGTATTGCGTTATAAATTGATGTTAGGTATACTAGAGCTTTCCTTGGCATTTTCTGGAGCACTTGAGCATTTATCAGGTCATGACCGGGAGCTTTCTTTTTAGGTAACTGTCTGATTTGTTCTGCAACTTGAGTGGGAGTGAAGCAAAGTGGAGGTAATGACAGTTGTAAAGGAATGTCTAAAGTGTTTTGTACATGTCTTTCGTGATCAGTATTAGAGAAGTCAGTATGTGGTATGAAAACAGAAGAAAGATGGTTGGCAAAGAGCTCAGATTTTTCAAGGTCTGACACAGCCCAGGAACCATCTACGTTTCGGAGTGGTGATGACACCTCACAATGCTTTACAAGTTTCTTAGTCTGTCTCCATAAGCTTCCATCGTCAGTCGAAAGATTTTTGAGGTAATTGTCGTAGTTCGTTCTTTTAAAATTCTGAATCTGTCGTTTAAGTTCATTGTTAAGTCTATTGAAAGTCCGTTTGTCAGATGGAAGTCGACCAGTCTGCCACACTTTGCGCGCTCTTCTCTTTGCTCTGATCAGGTCTCTAATGTACTGCGGATAGATTGGAAGAGACGTATTTCTGCTAGGTCTTGGTACAGATGATGACCATACAGCCTGTTGTAAGCTGATTGTGAACTTATCAACAGCTTTTTCGAGTTCCTCTTCGGTCTTAAGGGACATTGGGATTGATAGCGTCGAATTTAAGTAGTCGCTGTAAGCTTTCCAATCGATTATCCTATCTGTAAGTGTTGGTTTTTTTGATGCAGTACGAGGCTCATCGCATAGTACCAAACTGAGAAGAGAATGATCAGAACAAAGATCAGAGCTTGCAGTTACAGTATACGGCACTGTCCTGAGTCCTTTAGTAATGAAAAAGTCAAGTAAATCTGGTGTTTTCTGTCTTGAAGTTGGCCAGTAAGTAGGTGTATCAGGTGAGATCGTGTTTAATGAAAGCTGATCGATGGCAGACTTTAGATTTCTTCCTCTAGGAGTACAGAGTCGTGATCCCCAGGACTGATGTTTGGCATTATAATCACCACCTGCAATAAAACACCGACCGAGATGTTGGAAAAAATTGTAAAACATTGCAGATGTTAGCACGTATCTCGGAGGGCAGTACACTGCAGCGAAGGTAATGGTATGGTGCTGGGTATACAGAGTAATTGCTGTGGATTGTATGTCAGGTGTAATGGGTAATTGTAAAGGGTTGTGTTTTAGTGATTGCTTAATCAGTATTGCCGTACCGCCATGTGCCGTCTTATCAGGGTGGTCAGTTCTATATATTTTGTAGCCTGGAATGTAAAATTTAGAATGTGGAGTCAAGTGTGTTTCAGTGATGAGAGCAATGTCAGTCCGTTTTTCATGTATGTACATGTCAAGTTCAGTCCTGTGTTGGTTTATACCATTTGCGTTCCAGAGAAGAACGGACATGGAGCCCACTGTCAGCCGATTAGTAGCCATAACTGGAGGATAAGGCTTGTGCAACGTGAGACAGTTCTTGGAGAAGGCTGAAAAGAGGCTGGATGAGGTTATTCAATCCACTTACCAAGTTGAAGAGCTGAGCTGAAGCCGGGTGATTGTAAGTCGGTAGTGGCGGTTGAGTAATGCCCTTTTTCATTTCTGGATGCTTTGGCTGGTGAAGGTGATTTTCTGGGACTTCTGTAGGAGAAGTTCGCAGTTTTGGTCCTAGATATTGAGAATCGGGTTTTGAAGAACCTGAATTTGCGGTATGCTGACTTTGCGGAAGAGAAGGAAACTCGTCTATACCTGGGGGTGCGCTAGTTTGTGCTTTTTGGGGACTTTGTATATTTTTACGGAGATTGCGTACTTCCCTCAGTTGTTTTAGAGTTGCACAACCTCTATAATTTGCTGGATGGGATCCGCTACAATTCGCGCATGTTGCTGCGGTCTCTCTTGTCTTTGTGCAGACGGTGCTATCATGTCCTTGGCCACATCTCACGCACTTCGGGGAGTGATTGCAGTAAGCCTTTGTGTGGCCATACTGCTGACAACGGGTGCACTGTGGAATCATTCTTTTCTTTCTTGGCTCTTCGATTTTCACTCTAGTATAGTATAAAAATTTGATATCAAAAATTTTTTCATTAAATGTGGCTTTAGAGATATCGATAAAGAACATGGGAAGTGGATTTTTGTATCTGGAAATAACGTTCACAATACTTGTGGCATCGTAGCCTAGGCATTTTAATTCGTATTTTATGGTTTCAATTGGAGTAGCATGGTGTAAGTTTTTTAATACGATTCTTGGATTTCTATCTTCTATTAACTGATAGGTATGGAAATCGGCACCTACCTGTCTTAAGTTAGCTACTATACGTCTATATGTGTCAGAGTTTTCAGGATATACGGTTACTCCTCTTGATGTGGATTTTAGGTTAAAGCTGTTCAAACCTCCTACATTTTGGAGAAATGTGACCAGTTCGGTGTAGTTCTGTACATCATTCAAGTGGATAGGGGGCGGTTTTACAGAAACTGGTTGCTTAGTGGTAGCATCAGACTCGTCACTAATGTTAGTTAAAACTTCAAAACTATTAGTGGTTACTGTTGTAACTTCACTTACCTTTTTAGCTTTTCTTGGGTCTCTGTTATTGTCCATTGAGCGTTTTCTTCCTGTAACGAGTTCCCAATTATTTTCAGTAGTTTGGTTTGAGTTTAAAGCGTCCACATTTTCTGTAGAACTGGCAGATATCGACGTCTCAGACATCGTTTGCGGTGAAACCGCTACACCGAGGTGTGGAGTTCCTATTTCTTGGAGCTAATTGGTTTCAACAACAGAATGCAACAAAAAGAAAAGTTTTCACTGTTAATTTACTCTAAGATTTTGTCAAAAAGATTTTCAAAGAAAAATTAACCTCACTTTTATCAATGTTCACCGCCATAAAACTTAATTACTTAAAAAACCTAATTTGGAAGAATTTCTGTCTTTAAAATAAGTTTGAACTTATTATTTTGCATTTTTGAATTTATTTTTTTCCAATGAATTTGATAGGCATGCTGCTACTACTTTTCAAACGAGGATTTTTGATTACTTCTTCTCCAAATGATTTCACACAAGTAAGAATCGATCATACTCCTTCTTGTTCCACATTCCTTTTCATTGGATTGTCCGAAAATAAGGCAAGGTTTTGAGTTTTGGTTCTTGTGAACTACGTGGTCTCTATGGACTGCTATCTGTCAATGTTTATAACCTCAATACTGATAATTGTGATAAGGTACTGATAATCCCTATTTTCATTTGAAATCCAAAAACACAAAAACAAATGTAATAATAACAAAACTAAAATACCCCTTTTTATAACAAACTGTTTATCTTTACTGGATTATTCATTTGTATGAATGTCAACACTTATTATCTTCCACACGTTAATGTTTCTTTAGCTCTGTAGCATTTCACTGCTTAGAAAAAGTTCAGTCTTTATTAAGATGTCAACGCGCGATTTTCGTATAATTTTGTTTTGCTAGTTTAAAATCGGCCGGAATGGCGCCCAGACAGCCAGAACATCAATCAAGTCTGAGGCAAGAACAGCTTTAATGAGTGCACTGTTCAAAGAATTGCAGATGGGAGACTTCAGCCTTGAAGACCAAGAAAGTTGTAGAAGGACTTCTTCTCTTGATGAAGATATTCTTTGGGCTTTGGTGGAAGAAACGCCCAGAACAACTGTTGGAGAACTTGCATGGTAACTTAACCTTCGCAAATCGACCGTTGATGTCCACCTCAAGGCGATTGAAAAAGCCTGAAAGTTGGGTTGCACATACATGAAGTTTGTGCTACATTTCTTTATAGAAACAAAAACGACCCTTTTCTGTCTAGAATTGTTTCTTGTGATGAAAGGTGGATGCTTTATGATAACAGTAGACGTTCTGGACTGTGATTTGACAAAGGAAAAGCAGCAGAGCATTTTCCAAAGCCCCCAACTCATCAAAAAAAGGTGATAGTTACTGTTCGGTGGGCTGCATTTGGTTTGATACACTACAGCTTCTTAAATCCTGGCGAAACCATCAATTCTGAATTGTATTGTAACCAAGATAATGCAATGCATCAGAAATTGGCAATAATAATTGGAACTATTTTGATTTATTAAAACAGTTGTATATATTTCTTTTTAAACCAAAATTCTGCATTATTTTCCAGACAACCCAATATTACGATATTATATTATTTTCTATTATGAACTACCCATTTCTTACGTTTTATAAAACATATGTTGATACTATCAATTATGAATCACATAACATGTTTAAGTAACTATTCATAACTGTGAACTAACAAAGGTGCAAACAAATTCACAGGTGTATTTTAAGCAGAAAAGAGCCCACAAATCTGTATATTACTTCTCATAGAATTGCTTCCGTGAAAAATCCTTTATCATGCATGCTTCCTTATTTTTCTCAATTTTCTGCCAGATAAATAAATATGTAATTGTAATTTTCCATTATCTGTAGGAGGCTGTATCCCAGAATAAAATTTACTTTCTTTTTAAAGAAAGGAGATGGTCCGGGGTGGCGGCCATAAATAGGCTAAATAGTGGCAAAACTATTTTATTAAAAGCCAACGTTTCTATCCGACTTTGCAGGTCTTCTTCAGGGAGGTGTGTTCAGCTAGGAGTTTCACTTAGAGTTCTCAGTGAAACGCCTAGCTGAACACACCTCCCTGAAGAAGACCTGCAAAGTCAGGTCGAAACGTCGGCTTTCAATAAAATACTTTTGCCATTATTTAGCCTATTTATGATCGCAACCCCAGACCATCTCCTTTCTTTATAAAGTAACAGTCAACTATTAAATATTCAATACTTTCTTTTTATATTCACGTTGGCTGAATCCTAACTTGATATCTTAACTTCTTAATTGTAATTAGGATAAAAATGGAAAATAAATGATGATGCAAGTTATATTATTATATTTACCAGTAAAATAAGTTATACTTTACATGTGTGTCTATACATTATAAATAATTTATAAATAGATCAAAATAAATTAATTATTCATTAGATTAATGAATAGAATAGACTATTTACAATCTTTGAAATAATTTAAGTTAGCAAGCACAATTAATAACAATAACAATTTGTTAACATTAATGGGAACCATTCTCCGCTTAAACCTTAATTCAATAATTAAATTATTCGTAATTAAAACTACATTATCTTCAATAACCTGAATCAAACTCTTACATTCCATCAACTAAAATACAACTTTGTTGATGAATGAAAGAAAATTAATGACAGATAATATGAAACAATAAGATGAATACTGCAGTTAGTTGTTTTTTTTTTAAATATTAAGTTAAAATTTAGAACAAGAGCTTAAAGATAACAAAATTAAACTCAAAAATATAGTTAAAGAAAGAGAGAGAAGTTAATATCAATTTTTTTTAAATTTTAATTTAAATAAAAAGAAATTTGGCAGCCATAAAAACAGAATAATTTACAATAATATAAAAACTTAAAGGCCACCGCCAGATCTCTCAACAGGAATCTTCTTTTTTATTTGAGCTTTTTCATGTTCCATTTCCGCCATTCGAGCAAACCGACTTGCAGTGGCACTGATATGTCCAGCCTTTACAGCAGACATCATCTGGAATAAAATAAATTCATGTCATTTTATGTTTGGAACAAATTTATTTAACCTTTCGGTATATATCACTAATCCATAACTTTCTAAAAGAATTTACATATGAAATGTTGAAGCTCTACTAATATAAACCTAATAATATACAATTTTTACTAACATTAAGTAATTTTTTTGACAAGTTTCATGATAAATGTAGCCAATAAAACTCAGAATTTTTCCAAAAGATCAATTTTCTCCCACAATTATTAGTATTGTTTGGTACTATACACAGTCATAAAAGGAAATGAAAAGGGATGCCAATATATAAATTTAACAGATTCGACAAGTGGGAAAAACATGATAATTGTTTTAAATGAAGTTATACCGTCGTTTTCACTTCCCTTTATACAAAAGAAATCTGGTGCGTGCAACACACAACTTTCATTTACCTATCTACTATGAATAGAAATTATTTTATGGCAATGCTGGGCTATCATACAATTTTTTGAAGTGAATTTTAAACGGAGCTAAAGCTTAAAGCTTACAGATAACAAGTCATTAAGACCATTATAATTACAAAATGTCTATTTAATATATCGACGACAGGCAATAAAAATATAGTCACTCCATCTGCTTTTATAAACCACACAACTTTCTTTGCTTTTATAAACCACACAACTTTCTTTGCGTCCGATTTTAACAATTTTTTTTGTTTTTTTAGGAAATTCCATAAACTTTTAAAAAACCATAAATATCCCAAAAAAAGCGTATAATTTTTGAGTAATTCAGAATTTAATTTTAACATCCCTTGTAACTTTTTTTTCTGCTTCTTTTCGTTGAAGTATGTTATATAGATAAATTTAAAGGGTATCGATAAAATGACTTTAGCAAAGTTTCATTGAAATCGGTACATTCGTTTAGGCGCTACAGTCTATAGGAACGCAGGTTTTTCTGCATTTTTATTTTTTTCTCCTTTATTCAATTATCAAATTCTTTCAAAAGTTATATTTAGCATTTTTTCATAACTTTTAATAATGAGAGATAATTGATTATTTAAAATAAACTATATTAAAGGAACTTTAGAAGAAGACGCATATGAACATTGGGCATTTAAGCCCTGTAAAGTGGCATCAACGGGGATAAGACCTGAATGTTATTAAAGACCACTTAAGTATACAATGATGCACTGAGTTTAACCAAAATCGTTAGAGCCGTTTTTGAGAAAATTGTAAAAATATGTTTCAGAGTTCATATAAAGTGGCACTTCCGGTTAGCCGATTTTAACGAAAAAGTTGCTGTCACATCCGGCCCATATACAAACCTTAAATACTTAATATCAGTTTCGTACTACTTTTCGTTTATGAGCTAGACTGTTAACACACAGAGACCATTTTGCGACACTTGGTTATTTGAACTCAGGGTACCTCAAAACATGTATTTCCGTTGAAAACTGAGATTCGAAAATTTTCACGATCGCAATACTTACCCTTACTGTATATTACATATATACGTAAGTGAAAGTAATACCTATCTACTCTTTGGTTGGTAAGTGAAAGTTGTGTGATACAAGCACCGCACAAATTTTTTTTGTATAGTAAACATCAGTATTCCTCAAACAGGGACAGAAGGGTAGGTTACAATCCTATTCCAGCTGAAGTGTGATCAGGATTTATTATATATATAAAAAAATAAAAGTTAAGTGTCTCAAGATAGATTTGAAGGGCCCAGTCTGGCGCTGCCAATCATGCTCGGCTATGAAAGCCTCAAATAATGTAATGCTATTTCAAAAAAATGTATAACAGCTAATTTAAGAAATCCAAAGAGATAATAAATACCTGAAGATACTCGTCTAGTTCTACTTGGCCGTTCATGTTTGTGTCTATTTCCCTCAACATCTCATGAAGCTCTTCTCCGGAAATATGTACATCACCAAAATTCTGTTTAAAACAAAAAGTTAAAATAAATGTAATTGAAACAAGTATGATACAATAGCATAAAACACATGCAAGCAAACACGCATAATTCATGATAAATATAAACATTTTTGACACAGATAGTTTTAAATATAGTACAACAAACAAACCTTCATAATATTATTAAAATGCCAATAAAATAAGTATATTTTATTTCATATTGATTTAGCTCATGGAATTGATTAAACACCACGAGGAGGAAAAAAAAAAATAGGTGTTATCACTTTTTTTTTTTTAACTGAGTTATTAATAGGTTAAAATAGATAAAATTAAACAATTCTATCACATCAAAGGCACAAAATAAATATATTCTGATCCTGTAAAAAATTGTTTTGAAAAATAACTACAACGGGGAATGTAAAGTAGGTCCAAATTTGAATTTCGTTTTTTTCTCTCATTGACGTTTTTTAGACAATACCTGTTTTTCTCCAGTGATCTTCAACTGTATATTTTAAAAGTGTCAAGAAAATAAAAAAAATTATATTGTGAATAAATTTCATTTTATTAAACTGTACTACTGTAACTTGAAGTTACTGGGACCTAAACTGAAAAATTAGCATGAACTGAACTGAAAAAAGTGTTTCAGAACTTAATACTGGTACTCTTATATATGTTAAAGATTGTTAATTATGTCTATGTTATTATAATAAGACATCAAGGTATAATTTATGATGTTTTTTAAATAGTTTTAAGTAACTCTGTACTGGGTTAAAGTACTGTTTGAAGATACAATACTTAGTTTATAATATTAATTTGAACAAAAAGCTTTAACAACATATAATGGTTTCATTGTGTTTATCGTGATTCCAAAAGTTTTAAACTAAATTTGGAGGTTTCTGAAGTAAAGCAAAATTGGAATTTTCGCATCTTCCAGCTCTGAAAGATCAGATACAAATAAGGATGAAATTTTGTAGCCTTCAGACTATATTGTTTATTGATTATATATTTCCTATACATAGATCTATTCAAAGCTATATAAATATCTATTTTTTTAAATTAAGGGTTATATTATATTACTTAAAAGCCCCAATTTTTTTTTTTTTGTAATAAAAGATACTGTAAAAACTCCACTATTGTGGTTCTGAAAATTACCAACAGATAATAAATGCAGCAAACTATAAGATTTATACAAAACTTTACTTTAAAAAAAAAAGTAGTTGGTAGGTTTCAAATGTACATTATTTCGTATTAAATATATATTTTTTTAAATACCTTGAAAGATCTGCGCATATCATTAATGGAAATATAGCCTTTGTTTTCTTGATCGATGAGCCTGAACCTTTCAATATACATTTTGACTTCATCTTTTGTGAGATCTATCGGGATCTTGTCTTTACTAGCTCGGTTCACCTGCTCACCCATTTCATTCATTAAAAATTCGATGGCTAGGTCGGTTTGCCTCTATGGAAAAGAAAAAAATATTAAATGATCAATATAAAAAAATGTATACACTCAAACAAATAGAAAGAAACCAATAAAAATTGTACATAAATAAAATTTAATAACAGCATTTACTCTCCCAATAATTTTTCTTTATTTTGTTGACGTTTGGGGATCACTTTCTTATCCCATCTTCAGACAGTATCTCATCCTTCTATCTTATTATTTTAAAAACATTTGTCATAATTTTTATTTTTATATTTTCATAATTCATCCCTCAATTACATTGTGGACTCCTCTAGGGAGAGCCTAGTCAGACACGCCCTAGAGGAGTCCACAATATAATTAAGGGATGAATTATGAAAATATAAAAATATGACAAATCTTTTTAAAAAAATAAGATAGAAGGATGAGATACTGTCTGAAGATGGGATAAGAAAGTGATCCCGAAACCTCATAAAAATAAATAAAAATTATTGGGATAGTAAATGCTGTTATTAAATTTTATTTATATACCTCAGATAAAAAGCATCTTCCTTAGGACTTATGAATAAAAAAAAAATAATCAAATTATCAAATTGATAATTGTAATGAAATGTTTATAGATATTAAATATTATAAATGATTATACTATATATATAAATGACCACACTTGTTTCTCTTTCTCATCCCAGTGAAGTTCTTCAGCCATCGTGTTAACAATGAGAGGTAAAGCTTCCCTCGCGGCCTGGACGTTGAGGAAAGAGAGCCTGAGTCTTCGGGCAATCATGTCAATCGCAGTCATAGCGTACTCCCTCACGCCATATCGAATCTAACAAAAAGAATATAACGTTCAAAAAATACATTCTATAGCGGCTTCAAGCTTCTAATATTTGCGATGACAAGGTAAGTATAGTTTTATCACTTAAATCTAATGTTTATATTGAATTATTTTTTTTAGACATTGAAAGATAAAAACAGCAATAACTTTTTTTTTAAATTTATTTATTCTTTAGGAAATAGTTTAAAATTATGACAGATAAGAAAAATCAGCCTTATAAAAATGTTAAAATTCTTATGTCCTTACAATAAAATAAATAACATAAATATAGTAGTACTGAGTCATAGCATTTGATAAATTATGCCTACTAACAAAAAGGGAATTTCAAAAATTCTATTATTGTCTAAAACTTTCCTAGGATAGCTGCCAAAGTTTTTGCATTCAAATCAAATTAAATCAATTCGAAAACAAGAAAATTCCAATTTTTAATAGAAAGGGATAAGATTATTACTCAAAAGTAATCTGCTATGATCCACACGAAAAAAACTTTATATAATAAAATAAAATAATGCCATTTACTATACAATAATTTTTTATTATAGTATGTTATAAATTGTGAGAACATTTAATAAAATTTTATTTAAAACTTTTATAATAGCTATTTTGGCTTTTCAATCATGCAAAAGACTGATTATTTGGGGAGGAGATTCAAGCCCTTATCTTTCAATTTTTAATTTTATTATTTATACATTATAAACATTTTTTTTGCAATTTGAGTTCCTAATATTTTATTTTAGAGTAGATTATTAAGTCTACCGAAAGCAGAATAAAGATATTCAATTTTCAATCTTATAGTACTTTCTAGTTATGTAGGAGAAAATAGGTTAAAATGAATTCACTACTTCACATGAATCAATGAATCATGAGTCAAGGATTTTGGATTGAAGTATATAAAATCTATATTAATAAAAACGTAAATGTTCATTTGTTCAAAACCGCTAATCTCCGAAACTTCTTCACCGATCGCTTTGAAATATTGACGTAATGTTTCTATCGCATTCAGGAGTGTTTTTATATATATTTAATCACCCTTCGGTCTTTCATTTGGAATGGTGGCCCAAAAATCTGTGTCGACAATTTCTAAAGTCTTCTTCTTAAAGCCCTTTTAATTTATGTATAAAACATCCTTCCCCGAAAAGAGTATGAAAAAAGAGTTACGATGGGTTCAAAACTATATTTGCGAATAACTCAAAAATTATACAATTTTTGTTTGATTATACCCATCATTATTTGAAAGCTTTCTTTATTTCCTACAAAATGATTAAAAAAAACATCGAAATAGAAAAGAATTATTTCCGAAATGAAACAATTTGTAATGACCAAAGGAGAAAAGTGGGTTCAAATATTTTTTCTATGAGGAACAGAGTTGAGATTCTTATTTCGCATCTCGACAAACCCTCAAATACGTAACTCAGGAAGTACGCAATTTTTGTTGGATTATACACATTATTATTTGTAAGATTTTTGATTCCCTGCAGATCAAAAAAAAAAATCACTATAATCACTGGAAAATTTGGTGCAAAGATATAATGCTTTAAACATTTAGTAATGTTTCGTAGGAGATTTGGAGACCGATTGCTTCTTATATAGACAATTATACGTTGAAAATTCTAGAGTTTGTATAGATACAGACCAGACAATCTCTGTATCTATACAAAGAATGGAACAACAAAGAATATCACATATTCACAAGTATTGTTGCATAAAATATATTAGAAACATCTAATTTCTTTTCTATTTCTTTTTTATTTAACCAGAATGATGAGCCACAGCAACGCGTGGCCGGGTCGGCTAGTGTAAAAAAAAAATTTACCTCGGCATCGATATAAGGGAACTCTGGGTGTATCTTCCTTCCGATAATGGGCCACCTCTGGCCAGTAAGTGAAGCAAGCTTCGCCACAGCAAAAGCTCTATCACCGTAGTAGTAAGCTAAATGCTGAGCAACTTCGCATTCTAATCCGAAATCCTGAACGAGCCTTATGTACATGGTAGGAGTCCAGCCGTGATCTCCTTCTATCAGGAGCTTATCGGTAATGCAAGGTCCAGCTTTGGTGGCAAGCTCTGGAACAGCTGGAAACATAAAAATTATAATAATCACTTTGTATAGTTAAGGCTATATTAACTCCTACTTTATTATAATTCACTGTGATTAATACAGAAAAATTTTTAGTAATGAAAATTTAAAAAAATATGAGTAATTTTAATATGGAAAATCTTTCCTCACACTCATTCATCATGTAACTTGACTAACTATATATTTATATATCTACATATCAGGCAATTTTTATTGACTGGTTAAAGTGGAAGGATTAATTATTGCTCCTAAATCTATATATTATTACATTAGATATCTTTTCTCTTATATATTCAAAGTATAAGCGATATTAAGGAAGCATTTTTATTCATTTAAACAATTTTATTATCAGCAAAATCTAATTAATACACACAATTGGTAAAGTTCTATACTTTATTATATGAGCACGTTGAAATTGCAGTTTACTTATTAAACAAACCCTAAGACTGCTTAGCATAGGCGTAGACTTATCATTCTCTTTGGCGAAGGAGACAATACATCCTCCCCAAAATAAAAAGTCTCGGGAGTTTATATTATGAATAAAAATTATGAGTGATACTTGACATCATAAACATAATTATTTTACAACGAACAATATAGAACTATATATTAAAAAATAAGTATATATATATATATATATATATATATATAAGGTATTTAAGGGTTAAGTGGCCGAACTGAAATATAAATTATGGACATCAAAACAAGAAAAAAAATTGCAATTTATTATCTCCGAACAATTATACATCTAAAGTAACATTACCTTCCTAGTGACAAAGAAAGAGAAATAAAAAGTTAATTCCAATTATTTGCTTTAAAATGTTTTTTTCATCATTCCTAATTTGCTAAAAAAAGAAAAAAAGCATTACTTCAGTAACACATTCAAAAATCAAAAACCAAAACAAAGGATATAACCTTTGCAGTATAACATACAAAAAATTTCTAGAGACCATATCTTTGCTCCTAATTGTCCGATTTAACGATTTTTTTAGGAAAAATTTCGTAAACTTTTAAAAAAACATCTTTTCATTGAAGTATGTTATATAAATACATTTAAAGGGCATCAAGAAGAAGACTTTAGCTAAGTTTCATTGAAATCGGTACATTCGTTTAGGCACTACAGTCAATAGCAATGCAGATTTTTCGGCCGCCATTTTGAAAATAAAAGGCAGATAGTAATGTCGATTAAGGAGGATCATCCTCGGGTAACCTCTGTTGGTAAATCCAAATTTGAAAAAAATTGGTCCATTAATTTTGGAGAAAATGTGCAAAGTGGACTGACAAAATAAATTGTATTCCTTTTTTCGAATTCTATGTATCCTGAAACGTAAAACCTCAAATTTTGAGAGGATGTCAAGTTTTTGAATTAATTGTTCGATTACAATGGTCCATAACTGAAAATAATAAACCAAAAATTCCTATGAAGGTATGTCCAGAAACGCTTTGTTTAGAAGAAATTCACACCAAAAGATTTTCATTGTTATGAATTAGTTACGTTACATTAAGTAAATAAAACTTATTTATTTGTTCCAACTACTTTATTAATCAAACGTAAACATTAAATTCATATTCAAAGTGATTTCCTTGAGCATTAAGACAGACTCGGCATCTTTCTTCAACAGCAGCAGTGGCAAAATGGCACTGGATATGTGTTATTGTTTCACAAGATTCAATTATCCTTCTTCGTAAGGAATTAAGGTCACTGACCAGACTTGCATAGATTTTTTGTTTAATACAAAAATATCATTAGTACGTGGTATTATATCAAATGTACCAGTTTCTCTAAGATGTTGAATCGTTGAGCTAAAGATAGACTTGTTTGGCAATCTTCTATTCGGAAATTTCCTGGCATATTCACAATGGGCAGCATTGGCATTATCATTACAAAAACCGTATACAAACACTGTATCGGTATATTCACCATTAGTATAAATGGAAGGCATAATGATGAGTACTCTGCGAAAGCCTCTTACAAACTGATAAATGTTATTGAGAGTTTTGAGAGGATGTCAAGTTTTTGAATTAATTGTTTGATTACAATGGTCCATAACTGAAAATAATAAACCAAAAATTCCTATGAAGGTATGTCCAGAAACGCTTTGTCCAGAAAAGCCTCTTACAAACTGATAAATGTTATTGAGAGTTCCCAATGCTAATTCTAAATTGTATTAATGCTTATGTTGCTAATAGTTTTTATACAGTTAGAGATAAAAGGCCATATTAGTATTCTATCTAATCCATCTCCTAAACAAAACATTTCCGGACATACCTTCACTTTGAACAATATTTAATATGAATGTTAATGTTTACATTTAATTAATAAAATCGTTAGAACAAATAAATAGGTTTTATTTATTTCACATAACGTAAATAATTCATAACAACGAAAATCTTTAGGTGTAAATATCTCCCAAACAAAGAATTTGCAGACATACCTTCAGAGGAAATTTTTTTCTTGTTTTGAGGTCCTTAGTTCATTTTTGCAGTTTAGCCACTTAACCCTGAAACACCCTGTATATATTTACAATAATATATTAGTTTTTTATTTGCCTTCGGTATGGGTATAATTGAAAATTTGTTAAGAAAGCAATTGAATATTATATATTTTTGTTTGAAGGCTTGAGGCAGTGAGATGAACTCTCACTTCTCCGATACTTCAAATTTGCCGCAGGAAATGTGATAAAATCTTGACATAAAAAGGGTGCAGATGGATGAATCATAAAATGCTAGGAAATTTTGCTACATAAATTATCTTTGAATATAAATTAAAATTCCAATGACAGAAACATAAGACGTGATAAAATACTTGCGTACCAACTTCTAGATCTAAGCTCAACCATCTAATCAACTTTTCCTATTTCTTAAATTGATTTTAGTTTACATATTTTATGCATTTATGTATATTAATTTTTTTTTTTGTAACTTTTGTTCTACAAAATATAGGGAGGGCAAAATGATATTTTGTCATCCCGAAGTCTGCGCCTATGCTGCGTAGCCTACTGGAAAATAGTTCTTCAGTTAGGCATCAAATATTCAGCTAATTGTAAACTTATATTAACCTTATAGTATACTTGTTGAGACGTATTAGGTTAGTGAAGATGGAGATACGGTTTGTAGTTCACTCATTCATTTAGAAGCCAGACCTGAATAAGAACTTCATTACCACTATGGTGATATTAAACAGAAAATTAAAACATGTTTATTTTCATAAAAAATATAAAGAGTTTTTCTACAAATGTACATCAGAGCTATTCTCATAGATTTTTATTTCGACGAAGACTATCACAAGTAGTAATATTTTAATTTTTAAAATCTAAACATGTGATGAGAATCCCAGAACAACCATAACACCTAAAAGAAGCTTTCATGCAATAATTACAGTGTATTTTAAAACCGGTACATTTTAAGGCTTTAGTTAAACACAGGTGTAGTTATTCCTTTGCAATGCCCGGTTTAGTCCTTTCAAATTATAACGGATCTTAATCTCCTTCTCAAACTTTAAAACAAAATTTATCCCATCTCGTTTTGTCGAATTTTGAAATTATAGTCGTAAAGTTTTGAAATTGTAATTTGTCAATTATCCATGAAATTCCCTTTTCGTTTGATACCTCATTCATCAAGATCCATCTGTTACAGTTGTAAATTAATTAATAGTTATTTGTTAATTAATTATTACTCTGGCAGCACATCTATATATAAAAGTTAGGGTGGGGAGATTAGCACTAGGTCAATGTGTATCATACATGACAAGCGAGCAGTCCGAGAGGGAACACAAGAAGTATCCTCGAACTTAATCAGTTTTTACTAGAGCCAGCAAAAGTCTTCACAACCTTCAAAAGTCTTCAGGAAGGTAGCTGGGACGTGTAGGAAAAGAGATCAGGGAGTCTGTCGCAGCTTGGGGACGATATTTAAGGAAAAACCTAATGAGAAAAGTGACTGTTCCCAGTGTTTGTTTGTAAATAACCCATTTACCCAGGTGATATCATTCCCATTAGTTATTATAATAGATTTTATTCTATTATTATTCTTCAATGCCATTCTTTATTTTTTATTCTTTGGAGATTTTTATCTAGTATATATATTTTTTTAAATTATAAATCTAGGAAAGATTTCTTTTATTAAATTGTAATTCCATCAGCTGATGACTTCCTTTTATTAAAGCCATAAATTTTTCTTATTAAATTAAATATATATGTTATTGATATTAAAAATATCAAGAGGGTCAGAACTACTCATATAACCATTTGCTTTCAGCTTAAATCGTAAGATAACTTGAGCACAAAGTTGGGAAAAAAGGTTCAATTAAAAAATATTGAGCCGTTTGGCGTGACCTACACCCCAAATCGTCAGACTAACAAGTTTATATAGGTCAAATGTCCCAATATTTTTATCGATTTTGTGATCAAATTATTTTACGATTAAAGCGGAAAGCAAATGGGTATTTACAGTTTTTTGTACCTAATTAAATAGACATAGTTTGCCGACCTCCAGATTGAAAAAGCAGAATTTTCATAAATAAAATATTTGTAGATTACGATGAGATGAGCCAGATGTTAATAATCTGATAAAAAGGGGTCTGTACCATGGACTAATACCTTTATCCTTTTCAACTGAGTGTGAAGAGTGTTGCCAGAGTACCATTACATTATTTTCTTTGTTTTATTTTTATTTTATGTTTTCGTTGATTTCTTGAAAAAAAAAAAATCATAAAAGCCCATTACCATTAATAAGAATAAGGTTCATATATTTTATTTAATCACTATTATTCTTATTTTGTTTAATCCACTGAATGCGGGTACTCTATGTAACTTAGCTTACAAATTGCGCCTGAGAGTGGGACGAGGTATGTTTACTACACTATTACAGAAACTGTAGATTCTGAAAAAAAATTGTTCTAAACATATTAAATTAAAAAGTAAAAATAAATATTATACTATAAAGACATTACCTTTTAAAGCAGCATCCACGGTGTCAGTAGCCATCGACCTGTACGTAGTCCATTTTCCTCCAGCTATGGTAACATTCGTGAATCACTGACTTCAACGACATGATTTCTGGCAATCGATTGAGTGTCGGATTTATTAGGATCTGATATAAGAGGTCGGATACCAGACCAAGCTGATAGAACATCACCACGCCTCACTAAAAGCAAGAAATTAATATAATGATACAAAATCATTTAGATATAAGGATATAAGTGAGTAGCAAAACCCCGTCACTATGGTCATATTTTCTTCTGATTTTTTGTTTAGATCTTGAATAGAATTTCAAAATTTATTGAATTTTTTTCCAGATTTCATTTATTACTCACTACAAAGAAGGTTATTTAATGTTTAGGTTTGCCACTTGAACGTATATAACAATTTTTCGAGGTTGGATCAATTGTGATGGGTAACTTATTCAGTGAGGTCCGCTTGAAAGATTTAAAACAACTTGAGCTCAAAACATGGAGAAATTATTGTATAACATGTCAGTTTAAAGGTATGTAATGATTTTTTGATAGATTTTCAAGTTTGATGGTTCATGTTACTCAATAAAATCCTGTAAATATTTTGAGCTCAAAATGCTAACAAATATATTTTAATTGTGGGTAAATGGTTGACTGTTGTGAGTAATGAAGAGAAGAATAGTTGGGTGATCAGTCAAATAAGAAGGCAAAATAAATGATAATATTTTTTTGATATTTGCCGACGTTTCGACCTGAAGTTCAGGCCATCATCAGGGCTGACTGGAATGAAGTATCATTGCTTCGATTTACTTCATTGCAGTCAGCCCTGATGATGGTCTGAACTTCAGGTCGAAACGTCGGCAAATATCAAAATAAATATTATCATTTATTTTTGCCTTCTTATTTGACTGATACCCCAACTATTCTTTTCTTCATTCTTCATTCTTTAAATATATTTTAAGTTTTCTCAATTTTTTTTTAAGTTTATAGTATATATAAGTTGGCGACCAAGTGGTGTCAATAATTGAAATAGTAAAAATGTTAAAATAAAAAAATGATTTAATTAAAAAAAGATTAACAATAATCCATAAAGTCGTTAAATTTTGTGCTTTTTGTTGTTAATCACAATTACATAACACATAAATTATAATATGAACTTATGAACTTGAATTATAATATGAACTGAAAAAGTTTATGACAACGAACACCCATTTTCCAGCTATATCTTAATTGTTTTTATTATTTTTTATATTTTCTTATGATAGACATAAAGCATTCACCTTCAACATCTTTATTAAGATAGTTCTTTATTTCTTGTAAAATGAATAATATTTCTTCTTCCGTAGGTTTAGGATGGTGGGTGACCTCGCAAGGCATGTCGGTTGTACCTGCAATGGTATGCTTCTGCCAAGGAAGGAAGAAAATCACTCTTCCGTCTGACGTCGCAGGATCAAGAAGACCCATCTTTTCTGGACTATTAAGTATAAAGTGAGAATAATTTCATAGGAATGAAAAGACTGTTTTAGATTAAAATGAAAAACCTTTTTAAATAATACCTGTAGTATCCTGGTAAAACAATGTGTGTACCAGCACTTGCAGCACAAATAGTAGGAATCTTTGGATTGTCCATTTTCCTAACTGAATCAGTATGTGGTCCTGTAGCATTTATAATACATTTAGCTAAGCAGTTCCACTCTTCACCTGAAAATCACATCGATATACATGTATTAACAAAATGGTGTAGAGTGGTCAAATAATAATATAATACAATAATAAGTATAGTTAACAATAAACTACAAAATACAATAAGTATCATGTTAACTCGCTTTCAGTTAACTATCAAAACAAAAATTGATGTTATTAATGAGTATATGTGAAGAACTGATTACATCAAAGTTTAAGTAAAGAATTCGTAATGTTAAAGTGTACCTAAAGAACTGGTTACATCAAAGTGTATGTAAAGAACTGGTAAAGTTAAAGTGTATGTGAAAAAAAGATTACGTTATGATTTCTTATTATTTCTAGTTCTATTTTACATTACTCTGAGACTCTAAAGCCCAAAATTCTGTTCATGTACTTTGTTCAAAAGAGGCTTGTCCCGGAATATTATAAGGAATAATATAAAGAGTGTATTATTAATATAATCATTATTATAAAAATAGGTTTACACTCAAGAGGTCTTTAACTGAGGTCAAATAGGGTAGATTTTTAAAAACATATTGAGCCGGTTATGAAATCAATTACCTCTGAGCTAAAGTATAACAAATAGAGTACTATTGTAAATTTTTCACCTGTGAATTCATCTCTAAGCCTTGCGCCACAGCAACAGCCATTTGAATCCTTAAGTATTTCTACTGCTTTGATATGATTCGCAACTGTTGCACCGTGCCTTGTCGCAGTTAACGCAATAGCGAGGCACATTCGAGCATCATCCTGTTGACCTAAAACAAACCATTAATAAACATATTATAAAATCATTTAAAAAAAAAAATCAAAAATCATCTTCAACATACTGTTGAGGCCAAATCCAAGATAAAACTTTATTAATTAAAAATAAAAATGATTTTTTTTTATATTAATACCAGATAGATTTTAAAGTAAGTAGTTCTCGTATGTGTGCTGCAATGAATTCAAATGTAAAGTTAAACTTCATTCATAGTATTATAATTTGGAAATTTGATTGTTATCAGTGTATCGGAATCATAATCGTTACAGGGAAACTACCAACTGGAAGAAGGACCAAGAAAAAAGAATAATATAGGCAGGAAACGGTTATAAACAGGAACATTACAACGAAGTTTTACAATATGTAGTGTTCTCAAAAAGCTGAATTAACTAATGGATTTTCAAATTTCTTACTAGGCATCGAGAATTTTGGGAGCAGAGTGGCCGAGCAGGTTAACGCTTGTGCACAGCAGGCACTGTGTTACTTGGCAACCTGATTATAAATAATAATGAGTTTGCCTCCTGGTACTGAGGGGACTTTCAATTCTGGTATTAATCCCCCGCCAAAACGCCCGTATGGCCCATTAGGCAAGGTAGGGTGGAATGTAAATAAATAAAAATCCCCCACCAAAGAAAAATGGAGTGCCACATAAATTAATTAATTTAATACGCATGACCATGGAAAACACATCATCCAAAGTTGCTATTGAAAATAAAGTTGGTCGGTTATTCAAAGTAAAATCTGGAGTGTGTCAAGAAGATGCCTTATCGGCAACGATATTCCACATATCGTTTTCCACATAGCTCTGCATGCTGCTGTGAAAGAAGCAGCTAAAAAATGCACTATAGTTGATAAGACCTGGCAAATTTGTCCCTACGCCGATGACCTGGAGATTGCAGCCCGAAGTGAAAAGGCATTCAAAGAGGTATTTGAGATAATAAACGAAAATGGGAACAAAGTAGGGCTTGTAGTCAATGAAAAACAAAACTAAATAACTGTCCTCGACAGTAAGTAGAAGATCCTGTGGCAAAATAAAAATGAGAAATTTTAGTTTTGAAAATGTATCTCACATTTGTGTATCTCGGTTCTGCCCTAAATAATGAAAATTTAATCAGTAGAGAAATCAACAATAGAATAATGGCTGGTAATACAGCCTACTATGCAAACCTTAAACTTCTCAAGTCTCCATTGTTGTCAAAAGCTACAAAATTAAAGCTGTATAAAACGCTTATTAGACCAGCAGTCACCTATGGAGCGGAAACCTGGTGTTTGTCGCAAGAGGATTGTCATAAACTAAAAGTATTTGAAAAGAAAATAAGAAAGATTTACAGTGCTACAAATGTTAATGATGAGAAAAAAATCAAAAGTAACAATGAAATAGAAGATATATTAGAGAACCAAAACATTACTAACTATATCAAGGTAAGAACGCTGAGATGGGCAGGACATGTGGTCAAAATGGAGAATGATCATGTACAGAAGGAAATATTGGAATTTAACTTCAGTGGGAAGAGGAAGGCCGAGAAGCAGATGGATGGAAGGATGAAGTGGAGAGAGGAGCTAGGAAGTTAGGAGTTCACAACAAAGATAGAAGTGTAGAAGAATAACTCAGGAGGCAAAGGGTCATGCTGGCCTGTAGTGCCGGGGAGTTAGTTATTTAATCACCCCCTGTCTCGGGAAAACCCCCTATAGCCTAAAAGAGGAAGGAAGTGGAGGACAAAAAAAAAAAATTCAGTTTTGGCATTGATGTAGATCCTCAAATCCATCCTGTGGTGTTCCGGTAACTGTAGAGCATTCACAACTTGCACCACACCTGAGGTCTTATGGGCCACATTAATGAGAGTTGTGGGATTATATATTCTCAGAGAATTTCAGATACTGAAAAGCTGAAACTTTATCATAAAAATAACACTTTGATTATAAAAGTAGAGGAAAAATGTGGATGGTGTCAAGAACCTATCACCCAAAACATAGAACACCTGTTATTGCAATACCCCAGACTAAGTATTGATAGGGAAAAATACCTGGGAGATTATATTGTCCAAAACAATAAACAATTATCTTTAGAAAATCTTCTAAATATTGATAGTGCGGACAAACTAAATAACATCTATTTCTTTTTGTTAAAAACTATATATAGGTATTTAGAGTAAGGACTATATTATATTATTTTAGGAATAACCATTTAATTATTTATATGTATATAGCTTTGGGAATAACTATTTAGTGTAGTTCTACTTATGTAGTATTGGGAATGAAAGGGAGAGGAAGAGAAGGAGAGAGGGAAAGGAAGAAAGAAAGTCTAATTCGATATATTATTGAATCATTAATTAATTTCCAGATATACACTTTTTTATATTGTTTTGGATTTTAGAAATAATTATCTATTCATTTATTTATTCTATTTACTTATTGGGAAAGTATATATATATATATATATATATATATATAATATATATATATATTTTTTTTTTTTTTTTTTTTTTTTTTTTCTTTCAATTGGTTGTATTATTGGATTATATTGGGAGGTTATAATAAGCAAATAGTAATCTACCTATGTATACGTATTTATATCTTCATTTGTTTATGCTTTCATTGCCATTCAATACTAACAACTACTAAAACCAAATGGGCCAAACTCCATGGCTAAAAGATCTATCTAATAAATTATCTATCTATATTCTCACTGAAAATGAGTTCCCGAGATTAGTGAGGACAATTTCCCTCGATTCAAACAATTCATTTATGGATGGAAAGCAGCAGTGGGGCTGGCCCACTCTAATCTCAGGATCCGAGGAAGAAGGCAAGGGTCTTCCGCACCCAGAGGAAGCATATCTTTCAAGGTGGAATTAAGAAAATAGAAGATCGTAGGAAGCCAGAAATGAAGTGTAGAAAATTGGCAGCAGGCTTATTACGCATTCAGCTTTAGCTATCTAATTATAACGTTCACCCCTTTTTCCTTTCCCCTCTCTGGCCATTTGAACTGTACAGCAGGGATTTTCAAACTAGATGATGCAGCATACAGGAGTGCGACAAGAGTAAGCCCCGGTGGTGCCATGGCAATAACATTTAATTTTATTATTTAATGTCAATGTTAAAAATTATCTAATTGGTGAATCAACTTTCTAAACATTAATAATTTTATATTTATTAACAACATATAAAACTTAAATTTAAATGATTCAAATTTAAGATAATACCTGGGAAAAATTGTATTTAGTTTATATACACTGACAGGCAAAAAATTCCATCCACTTGATTTTTTCATGTTTTCATCTAAATTCAATGAAATGATTCTAGATTCCAATGTTTACTTTCTATGGAATCAAAATGTTTATTCAGTATCATTAGTTCAGTGCCGTTTCTTGCAGCACATTTCTTAGTCTCCGGCTTTAAATTTTTTCAATATTAAGTTTAAAAATGCCTCTTAGTGCTGAGGATGTTGTGCGTGGTGTGGCACTTATTGATGATGGACGTTCCATCAGATATGCAGCTAATCCCATCGGAGTTCCATATGAAACTTTACGAGACACCGTCAGGCATTTTCGGGAAACTGGTTCTTACAATAGAAGCTCCAGTTCTGGACGGCCTAGGGTAACAGAATCACGGGATTACCGGTTTTTGACTTTGAGATTTTTACGAAACTGGCACCTTACCGTTGTTCAAGGGATTCATCAGCTCGAAGAAGTTCGAGGTGTGCAAATTTCTGAACGTACCGCTTGGAGAAGATTAAATTAGTATGGATTAATGGCTTTTCGTCCAGTAAGAGGACCAGAACTCTAAGAGTAACACGGCTGCCTGTTGCTCGAGAACACAGCCATTGAACTATGGACGAATGGAGTGCTGTACTTTTTACAGATGAGTCAAGATTCGCTCTTCGATCTCCAGACGGGCGTGAAAGGGTGTGGAGAAGAAGAAACGAAAGATATGCAGCCTGTAATTTTTCCCAGATCCAACCTTTCCAACGTGGTTCCTTAATGGTGTGGGCTGGGATTTCAATGGAGCGCCACACAGAATTGGTTGTTGTTCGTGGAGGCCATTCACCTCAACAAAATCGGCGATCGTTCTATTCTAATGCACGATAATGCACGGCCACATGTCACCCGCATAGTGCAGACGTTCCTTCAACAGAACAATATTGAGGTTTTAGCCTGGCCAACACGTTCTCCAGATTTGAACCCCATTGAGCATTTATGGGATAACCTCGGAAGACGAATAACAGCGCGTGCAACACTTTCTGATTCACTGCAGGACCTCGACAATTTTTTTTTCTCTAATCTGCCTGTCAGTGTATATAGCACAAAAAATTAGTAAAGATTCTATTATAATACTGCTTTAAGGATAAGTGAGCTATGAATTTTTTTAGTGCGTCGGATGCCACACAAATATTTTAGCCTCCTGAGAATTAAGGGTGCTGTGACATAAAAAATAAGAGAACTACATCAGAACCGCAGCCATATAGGGTGGTTATCATAAAAAGCAACCAATTCTAGCCTGAGTGGGAAAGTCAAGATTCATTACAAAATAAAATAAAATTGCACGATTATTCTGCACCATAAATTTTAGAGCTGATGAGTATAAGGCCAGCAGTTTTTTTCTGAAAACTTTAACCATAGGTCTAGAACAGCAAGCTCAACTTAATTACTAAGCACTTTATTTCCATCTATATTTACTGAATCCGTTTCAATCATTGTTTTTAATATTCAATAATTTGTATAATGAAGAGAAGAATAGTTGGGGTGATCAGTCAAATAAGAAGGCAAAAATAAATGATAATATTTCTTTTGACATTTGCCAACCTGCAATTCAGGCCATCATCAGGGCTAAGAAAAGAACCATATAACAAGGTATGAGAAATATAAAAATTAAAGTAAAATGCAGTTGTTAGAATAATGACAATAGTAAGAACTAAGAGATAAATGATAATAACCGGTACAAAGTGTGGAATGATGAAGTAAACACAATGAAAAAAGGTGACATAAGTATTGAAATGGGAATCTTAGAATAAAATGTAAATGTAGATGAATGTAGATTTCAAAATAAATATTATCATTTATTTTTGCCTTCTTATTTGACTGATCACCCCAACTATTCTTCTCTTGATTATTCATGACAGTCAACCATTTACTCACAATAATTTGTATAATTAATGACATCTCTATTACATTTATTTCAGAATGAAAACATTAAATGGACTTTTTTTTTTTTCATTTTAAGAACAACAAACAAAAATACTTAGCAAAGAAAAAAATTGTTAATAGTACATAAATAAATAAAGTAAAAATAAAAAAAATCAAATACCATCATAATAAACAATGGCACCGCAGAGTCTTTCTTTACGTAACATGGGAAAATTTTCCAAAGCTGATGTTTTGCCTATATAAAACGAATGTTTAACAGTTTTGAAACCAGCAACGAGGTCGTACATTTTCATTCCAATCCAAAAATAAGGCACTTGCCACCACCTGAAAAATATTATGTTTTAATTACATTTTCCTATTGATTAATTATATATTTCACCAATATCTGTTGGAAGCGACAAGCCATTTGGACATAATCAATACTCTTACCTCTACACAATTATTTTTTATTTTCTAAATCAATTCATATGCTAAAGCAGGTCAAATGAACACTTTTTTATGTAATATTAAATAAAACTTTAATATTTTTTATTTTGTAACCAATGGTAAATTTATAATCAACTACAAAAAAAATATGACATTTATTAGAAAAGATATCATTTGACCACTACCAACCAGCAGAAATATGTATGTACAAAATAATTGTATCTTTAATGTTAAATAATCTACATTTTAAATTAAGATTAATTTAACTAATATACACACATAAACAAAATACTAACAACACCATTAAAAATTCTATCAAAAATTACTGACGTACCATTGTATATTTCAAATAATACTGTACACAACAGCTTAAACATTTCTACTTCAAAGTAAAATCGTACGTCCTACGACATATACACATTTCATTGATGATTAATTTTCAACTAAAAATCACCTCAATCCAATCGTTCTTTCAATTCCCTCCTCACTGTTACCTGCTCGACGCAGATTAAAAAGAAATTGGCCTAGGGACCTGCTCCTTCAACAATAACTAAATTCAGTACATCAAATTTGCTAAATTCACAGGTGCTAATGGAGTAGAAGATTAAAATAAACATTAATTTCTTTAAATGGTCAATTTAAATACCAATTGAACTTACCAAAAGTTCATTAAAAACTAAAAATAAAAAAGTATCTTACTCACAAGAAAAAAGTATCTTACAAAATAAGAAATAAAAACTACATGAAATCTAGATATGCACAGAACCAAAAAAAAAAAAAACATGTCAAATTATCATTATTACTTAATCCATATATATTTTTCTTTTAACCATTCTCGTTTTCTGGAGTAAAAATATTTGACACTTACTAGCAAAGAAGAATCATTTAATTTTTATTTTATCAATCCATTTTTTTTTTAAATTATTGTATAGCTTAAATATACATTTAATAAAAGATTCATTAATTATTTACACCGAAAAATACAAAGCTAAAAATAAGCAGACCGATTTCCCAAGAATTTATTCTATAAATTGTAAACTTTTGAAAGATTTTTTTTTTTGCAAAATTTTCATTATATTCAGGTATTGTCACACAACTATGTATACTCCATATAAGAGTTACAAAATATATAGTATGGTATCTACAGTAAAACTTACTTAAAAACTAATAGGATTACAAATTGTAAGGCGATCAATAATAAATTTTATTTAGCTTGTAATAAAAACTAAATTTAATATTGTTTTTAATCACTTTGATGGAATACTTAATGATTCATAAATCTTGATATCTTATAATACCAACCATCTATCATCTCCCATAATTTAAAACTAATAATAGTAAAAGTTAAGATTATTTTGTTGGCATATTATACTTTATTAAATATCAATACAATTCCACACATTAAATATCTTTTCTTTTTCCCCTAAAATACTAAAGCTAGCTTCGAGATGGTAATACTCCAAAATATCTTAAGAAAATTAATTATATTTAATAAAAAAATTGTGTTAGAATACAATTACTTTGAAATTAGGAAGAACAACAGTAATTGTTAAATAAAAAGGAAAAAAATCGAGAGAAAAATAGTAATTTTTTTATGACTTACTGCATTAAAATAAATATAAAAAGCGGTAAAATAAATATATATAAGAATTTTTTTTTTCAATATCAACTTATTTTTAGCCATTTGTAGTTGTTAGGTTTAGAAAAATAAGTTGTCTATAAAAGCTGTGGTAAATTTTTTGTCGTATATTTAGGATAAACATGTTTGAGCTATGTCACATGGAAAAACATACATGTTGTTTGCTTATTTTCAAAACTTCAGCCATTTAGGAAGATCAATGGTTCGCTTACCGTTAGACTTAAAAATAAAAAACTGTTCTCTACATAACTGTTAGATGATTCTAAGCTCATTATTATTGGATACAACTATTTCTTAGCTTAATCACTTTAGAAAGGAAGAATTTAGGGTAATCAAAATTTTAGTGGTTTTTTGGAGCACTGCGGTGAACCCACATGTTTTTCAATATCCAAAAAACTTGGATTTTATATACTCACCATGCACCTAACAACATAAAAAAGAAATTTTAACTACCCGACGTTTCCTTTTGCCATACCCCTTTTTTGTGCTAATTTGAAGAGGCTAAAACTTTACAAGTAATAAAAAAATTCATATATATTTTCCACAATACAATGAAACATATTAGAAATATAATAAAATTAAAAATTAAAAGAAACAGCATTATTGTAAAAATAATATATTTTTAAATTTATTCATATAATCCTTAACAACAGGGCTATGTTTTATGGCTTATTAAAAAGTTTATTAATAATGTTCTTTTATCATTTATATATCTTTCCTCAGGCTTTAATTGTGCTGGTGTTCTGTCATTATTTTTTTTGTTACGATTATATCTTCTTTTTCTTCATATAATTTTTATTATAAATTTTCCCTATAATTATTAATATTTAGTGCTAATAATGATTTTAAAAGTTTGCAGTATACTCTTCATAATTAGCTCTATGGATAATTTAAGTTTATAAAAAATACTGTCATTTATAATCAGGTATTAGAAAAATAACTCATAACAGACTGAGAGTTAATACTATGAATATAAAAGTGTATCCGCAATCATCAAAGTAAAATATAAACTAGACTAATAATGAGCATATTATATTGTTCAGTCAATATTTCATATTATACTATACTGTGCATTATAATATGGAAATACGTAAATGTCATGTATTATAAGGTTGATTAATTTTCATTAAAATTAATAGACTAAAACATGTTTTCAAATTACAACTGGCTGTATCTTTCCTAAAAATTTGTATTTTTTTTTTTTAAATTTTATTATAGATAATTTGAAAACCTTTTAAACTATCATAGGTATTTTTTCCTCCCTAGCCTATCGTCACAAGTATTTTACAACCTGTAGGCCTCCCCTAATTAAGAGGGTAATGGTCTAACTTCCCATGGGGCCAGCCGTATTGGGAAGTGGGGCCGGGATTCGATCTTATGATCTTCACATATCATATCATAGGTATAATCAACCATAAATTGTTTACTTTTGGATATATCTGCAAATGAAGTTTCCTATTCTTGATAAGACTTTTTTCTGACTTTTCTAGAGAATGTACTTCTTTTTCACACCTGAAGAAGATAATCTTCAAAATGATGGTTCCATCATTGGATTTGATGAAGATTAACCAAGATATGGCATACTGTTATAAAAAATACTTTAGATAAATAATATATATAAAGAGAGTGCCATGTCGAAATGGTTACTATAATAACCAGTTCACTTTTTATTAATTTTTAAAATAATCAAAAATTATACATCTGTAATATTGCAGTTTTTTATTATAAGAAAACTTAAATTGCCTTACAGAATTCTTCTAAAAAACATAAACCAAAAATAAGATTTGTTTGAATACCTCATTCATCGAAATCCATTGCCCCCGAGAGCCAGAAAAGAAATATGTACTACCATAACATAGATAGTATAGATTGAAAGGTTGAAATAAATAAAAAATGTTTTGACAAGAGAAATGGATCTTTAAAATAGAGGGGAAAAAACATAATTAACAAGTCAACAACAGTTTAACAACAAATATAGAAAGTTACTAGCCATAATAATAAAAGGCTTAGCGAACACGAAGGATCGATGCCAACATCACCGATCAATGTCTATACTTCCCTTCACCAGTCGTCATCCAAACCCCACCCCATCAGATTAGCTTTAATACAATCCTGCAAACTTTGCTTTGATCTATCCCTCAGAACTTAATCAGTCGGTACAGTGCATATTAATCTTTTAGGAATACTTTCTTTGCTAAGTCCAAAAATTTTACAGGCCCATTTTAATCGACACAATGTCATCACCTAAATAACATTAACTGGATACAGTTCACACAATTGAGTTAATATAATTGAGATTAACAAGGAATTAACATTGTGGCGATTAAAATGGGCGTGTAAAATTGTTAGACTGATAACCATCGGGAAATGGGAGGGGTAGCTGAGCAGACTAACATGTGCACAGCACCGTGCGTGGCTGGCTACCTGATAACCGAAGCTTGAGATAGAAAAATAATTATGAGTTCAAACAGGAAGGTGTCTCGTGGGACTTTTAACTCGGCATAATTTCCCCTCTCTCTCCCCAGCCCGGGAAAACCTTGTGTAGCCTAAAAGGCAAGGAGTAGGAGACAAAAAAAAAAAAAAATAATAATAACAAATTCATGTAGTTCAAGGGTTTTATGTATTCTCACTTTTATGTTTTGGAACAGGAGGTAACTAAGTAGTTTAGTCACAGAAAAATAATATTAATTTCTTGCCTTAAATCTAACCTTAATCTCCTCTTCAATTTTGTTTATTCTAATTATTGTAGACCCTAGATGCCTAAACTTCTCTATGTGTACAAAAATATTCCCTTCTATATAGATATTACCGAAATTGCTGCCATTTTTGCAGCTAATCATATATTTTGCCTTATCCATATTTATTTTGAGCCCTAGTCGTTTACCGGCTCTTATTAACATTATCGTATTTATTTTTATAGTTTCCATATTGTGTAATGGTTAGCAGTCTGGACTCTGATTAGCCATTAAATAAAAAAGTTAAGAAAATAAAAATTCAAAATAGGGTCATTTATCATAAAGATTCGACTGTATTTATTTACTATGTTAAGTGGACTCATAATATATTTAATCTTTATTACACAAACTGTTGTTATATGATTGTATTTTAATGATTTTTTTTTAATCTAAATTTATTTATTTCATTATTCATTTAGAGAACAAAATATGATTTTAATGCATGTATTACATACTAAACGTGGAGGAGGAGGGCAAAACTGATTTAGTATATTATCTAATCCTATTTCTACTACACTTTCATCCACAGGCAGATACAGGGAAAGGGAGATCTTTCGGGCTCAAGCTTCCCAAAATGGTAAAATTCGTACATATACAAAAAAAAATTATCTCTAAAATGTATAATTGTTCATTAATTATATTTAACAGGTCTTCAAGAATTACTTAAAAACCATTTAATGTAGGTAATTAGTTTCTTTCCAAGTAATTATCCTTAAATATTTATATAATAATAATAATAATAATAATAAGGCTTAGCGAACCCGAAGGTTCGATGCCGACACCACCAATCGCTTGTTACACACCTCCCTCCACCGTTCGCCGTCCAAACCCAGCCCCTTCAGATCGGCTTTAATGCAATCTTCCCACCTTCGCTTCGGTCTACCCCTCGGACGCTTACCATTCGGCACAGCAAATATTAACCTTTTAGGAATTCTCTCGTTACTAAGCCCAACAACTTTACAAGCCCATTTGATTCGCCGCGATGAAATTACCTCAATTATATTACCCGGATACAGCTCACGCAATTCGGCGTTGTGTAACCGTCTGAACTCTCCGGTTAACTCATCCTTCTTCGGTCCGAATATTCTACGCAATACTTTATTTTCAAAAACCCTAAGACGCTGCTCATCCCTTAATGTAAGCGGCCAAGTTTCGCATCCATAAAGAACTGTAGGCAAGATAATTGTTTTATAGATTCTAATTTTTAAGTTTCGGGACAAGAGGCGCGAACTAAGTAGTTTTGTCACAGAAAAATAACAAGCATTCCCCGCCTTCAGTCTAACCTTAATCTCTTCTTCAATTTCGTTTTTTCTAGTTATCGTAGAACCTAGATACCTAAATTTATCTACCTGTTCAAACATATTACCATCTATATCGATATCACCAGTAGTATCTCTATTTTTGCAGCTAACCATATATTTTGTTTTATCCACTAAATATTTATATATATAAAAAAAAAGTTATATGCTGAAGCCTCCCCTCCAAAATTAATTTCTGAATCCACTAGTGCTATCTGCAGTATCGCCTAGGTATACTGTGCACTAAAAGATGAATGCTTTTAGTAGCAAATTATAGCAAACTTCACATACTTTATCAGTTAGTTATTTTAAATTTTTTTATAGGATTATTATGATAAGATAATAATTAAAAAAATGTTTATCAGTTTGAACAGGCAAGGATTATTCTCCTTATGTTCAATTCAAAAAGAAACAAGCCCTTAATGATTTATTTAAAACAGTACATAACATTTAGGCCAAACATTTTTCAAGTCTATTCTTTCTTTAGTTGACTGCCATACTTAAAATCATAAAATAAATATGACCAAAAAGTAAGTATTTTTAATAGAATTTATAATTTCAAGGAAAATTGTTATATTTCATCCTTAAACCTCTCTCCATGCTTCAATTCATTTTAATTTTCTCGACGATGTTTCAGGAAATTTTGAATATTTTCAAGTCGAAATATTTATATCATTATTATATAATCCATACGATTACATTTTTTATATAATTATTGTAACATTTGTCTCCTCCATTCTTCTAATTATAAAATTAATAACTTATTTACAAAAAGTCAATTCCAAAAAAAAAAAAAACTGAAAATAAACATACTGTGGACCATCAAATAATTAAACAATATTTTAAATTTACATCAAATGTTACACATTTTCGTGCTTTTAATACAACAGCCTTATGTCCACTAGTTGACAAAAATTTTCTAAACAATTTAACCAAAAAGAGTAATGCGTGAAATTGATGTGTGTTCAAAAAAAGTTATCTAATGTTTTAAATAGAAGATAAGGAATTTGAAAGAATTTGTTTCTTCTAGAAAATGAATATATGCATAATTGGATATACCCTGCAAAAATATCGAAATATATATTATTATTGTTGGGTATGTAAAAAAAAAAAAAAAAAAAAAAAAGGTTGTGAGTTATCAGTATATAAAATATAATCAAGGTTAAGGTAATATTTTTTTTTGTTTAATTTTTTTTTTCAGAAAAAAATTCAAGTTTAAAAGCTTTTGTCAATAGAGGTGATTCAATAACAAACAAAAAAAACGGGGAAAACATTTTCAAAAGGAATGCCCACAGCACGTGATATTATCTATAACAGCTCAAGGCTCTCCTTACGTTAACAGACATCTGATTAGATAAAATGGGCAAGTGTCTGTAGATCTCATGTCTTCATTGACTGAGATTAACCAATAATGACGTAATCAATAGTACAAGAAATATTTTGATTTTTATTATAAAATTAAATGAAAATTTTGAGTTATTTTTTATATAATTGATATTCTGAAATTATTTCTATGTGTGCCCAGGGGTCACACAGATATATATAGCTAGTATGAATCATATTCCAATTTAATTAAAAAAATACTTTTTTACAAAATTAAAAAAAAAATGTGTTTAAAATATTAACAACTAAACTAATTTAATTTTGTTAAGGATTAAACCTATATTAGACTGGTCGTATGGGGAGGCAAATCCCAGGGTCCCCGGTTTGGAGCTAATGGGTTTGATTCCCATCAGGGTCAGTTAATATTTATTTTGTGGCAATCCCAAAAACTCCCACTGTGGTTAGTATTGGATAGCAACCTCTAGGTAGCAATCGTAGGTCAGCCAAAAGAACCAATAAGCCCATTTCCCTAAACGCTCCAGATATAACAAAAAATAAAACTAAATAAATGTAGATTACTGAGCTTTTTTCCATACTCCTCCATAAGAAAAAAAAAAATAATAATAATAATTACAGGATATTATTCTCATATTAGTATGCAATAATTTTTTTGGAATGTTAATCATGTTAGTTTTCTCCAGATTCGTCGATAAATATTTAAAAATATTTGGCAAGATTTTATTATTCTCATATTCATGCCCTACTATAAACAAAACGAGTTTTTATCCAATCTTCAGATATTAATTATTAAACATTACATATTATCTTATAACAATGGAGAAATAGTTGATAACATGACTGGATTTTTTTTTTCATGCAATCTCGGGCCAATTTTCCAACCATAATTTAATAACATTTAAATATAATCTTATTCTAAATATAAGATATTCTAGTGTTTAATAACTGAAAATAAAATTTTTAAAAAATCAAATTTTTTTTTCAGCAAGGCATGAACACAAGAGAATTAAAATTTTAAAATGTGGCCAAAAGATAGTTTTAAATTTATTAACTGAACCTCAAGATCATGAAGAAACATATACAAACTTGTATATATATTTATATATATATACACACACACACACACATATTATATTTATTTAATATTATATAATATTTTTTTAAATTAATTTTATTCTCCCTTTAAAAAAAAAAAAAACTACCAATACAACTTATAAAGGGTCTTGGGTTCAGTACTATTTAGGGAAAGTACTGTTTCAAGGCCTTTGGATGTCCAGGGAGGAGATCAGGCCCGGATCACACTCAACCGCCAGGTTTTTCCCCTTAACCAATTATTTAATTAAGGGTACCCACTTTAGAAAATAGAAATAGAAAATAACTTTATTCTGGGACAAAGTCCCTTTAGAATAACAAAATAGAACATAATTAAAATACTACATCTGGCCAAAATAAACCAATAATAAAAAAGAGAAAGTAAAGAAAATATAGTACCAATCCTCTTTTTATAAAAAATAAATAAAGAAGTATTTTTGAGATGGCCAAAATCATTCACAAATCATAACATCGGTTATTTAAATAAAAATAGGCACACAATATAATAATATAGTAGTATATGATAATAATATAATAATAATATGTATGAATACTAACTTATAAATAGGAACCATAATTGGCAATGGCTGAGTAAGATGAGGCGCTGATTCTAACATGAAAGCTCGTTCGTGCAAGGCCTCTTTAACCATACGGTATTGCTCTATATCCAAATTCATAATGGCCTTTTGTAAGTAGCGCACTCCACCGTGAATAAGCTTTGTGCTTCTTGAACTGGTTCCGGATGCAAAGTCATCCATTTCAATCAAAGCCGTTTTCAGTCCTAAAATACATTCATAGATATAATTTATTATATTTATTTATTACATGTATATTTTATTTATTTGTTTTAACTGACTTGAAACAGATATGCATGAGAAGAGTCTTTGTATCACCCATTCTATGGTTTGGGTAATAATATTTAAAAATTAAAAAAAAGGCAAATTTAATTACTTCTTTGATACTTTAACACAATTTATATTAAAAGAAATTGATTCTATCTAACATAAAGATATTAACCCAAAATCAAATGCAAGAAGCAGCTCCTTAACAGCAAGAAGTTTATTAAGTAATAAAATCCTCACATATATTATTATAGTAGGGCTCGAAATCAGTTTTGTACCAAATATAAGCTCCTGTCATACTCAAATACCATGAATGGGGTACCGTTGGATTCAGGATTTCACGGGGGGTTAGCGAATCGTATTCTCCACTTTTGTTTTTCTTTCTAAAATAAATAAAGTCGATACAAACATTTTGCTAGGCTTCAACATTGGAACGGTGGTAGGTCTGTAGATCGATACGGAACAAATTGGATTTTGAAGATTTTGATGCGTAAAGGAAGACGCGGATAGTTCCCAAGGAACTACTGGATCCAGCGTTTTTAAGCCCAAAAACATACTATTTTCGAGATAACGCAAGGCATAGGGTTCGCATCCACACAACCTGATATTAATTGTAGTACTGGCATTGAATACATGTCTCATTTCGTCGACTTGAGGTCTCTATGATCGAGAGAGGAGGAGTTTATATTATTTATCGATGATTATACAAAAGACTACTAAATTCCCTACAAATGAAAAAATAAAATCATCGAAATCGGACATTTTTAGCAAAGATACAGTTTACTGAAATTTGTAAACATATTGGTTCCAAACAACTGAAGATTTAAATTAATTTTTGTTTTCTTTGTCGATTATATTCATCAATAAAGTATCATTTGATTTCTTTACTTTTTGATACGTTGCATTATTTTATTTTCTTATTAATTTGGCATTTGATAACAATATGCTGTGCGAATTTTTCGCACGGGCCTACTAGTTTCACATTATTTATTTATATGTCAAAATAAATATTATCATTTATTTTTGCCTTCTTATTTGACTGATCACTCCAACTATTCTTCTCTTCATTATTCATGAGAGTCAACCATTTACCCACAATTATTTTTTATTTTGTTTATATATTTTTAAATATTTATTTTTGTTAAACTAATTCAACAAAAATGAACTTTTGAGACTTAAGGGACCAATACGCAGTCCATAGTATAAGATCAATATCAAATTCAGTAAATAAATTGACCATATGAGGGGTAACTATTGTAAAATTGGTTGAAATGAAAAGTTCTTTATTTTTATTGAAATTCTTTCAATATTATTTAAGGAATGACATTCATTGCATGTGTAAGAAGTATATTGAGTAATATTACATCTTATATTGGATAAATAAGATAAGATATTTAAATATATGTTACGTCATTATAAGTGGATCCAAATTATGAAGAGCCCCGAGCAATACGATATTACAGGGCTCTCATGGTTAAGATGTGAAACTGCTAGGAAAAGCAGTTTGAGATGAAGAGGATGTCTCCACTCCAAATAATTTTAAAATTTTGAGGAAAAATAGCAGTATTTTATATCATTTTAAATTTATTCTCAAAATTTATAAATTTGCAACTTAGCAATAATTTGTATGATTGTTTGTTTAAAAGTGATTTCGTAAACAATAATTAAATAATAATTTATTTTTATTGTGTAACTATTTCTTAAATATTAAACACATAGGAAAAAATATACAAATTAAAACAAGAAATGTTCAATTTCAGAAAACAAAATATATATATATAAAAGAGAAGTAATACAAGACAAACAACAAATGTCTTAGAAGAAAGCAAGACCGTGTAACTGACATAATATTGACAAAATACTGTTGACACATATGAGGGGCACCTTCAATATATGGCCTTCATTTATATTTACTCAATAATATTGACAATGTAAGGGGTGGTTTAGGGATTGTTCATTACAGAGCCTACTGTTTTCATGAAATTAATTGAGTAACTACTTGATTAAGGATGTAGACAAATTAAATGATGGATAATTAACTATGTATGATTGGTTAAAATATATTTATATCAATAATTCAATAAGCTACATCTCTTTCAAATTCAGCAATTTCACTGTAAATTTAATAATGCTTTTTGTTATTACAATTTTGTTTATATTTTATCAAATATTTTTGTATATGTTTTTTTCAGATGAAAATTTAAATTATATGTAAAATCAGATTATCCCTGAAGATGCCTGAGGAGGCGAAAATTTGGATAAATTTAAAATAAAGTAATTATTTATCTAAAACCTTTTTTATATTACCAAATACTTTTTTATATTAAACAATTAGGACTGATAGCACAGTTTTGAATAAGAACCAAGAAAAAACAAACAAACAAAAAACTACAAAGTCAGATTTACAACGTTTATATATAATACCAGAGAAATTAAAACGATCCTTATGTATTACAGAAATTAGTTTAGAAGAAGAATGTAATTTTAATGACAGAGAAATAAATGGCTATTGATAATCCAGTTGGAAAGTTGGTTGTGTATTGCAGAAATATAAAAACCAAACTTTATTTTCTTTTGTGCCGATTTTTCAGCTTGAGTTTCAAGGATAAAGAAAGACAAGAAAACAGATAAAACATAGCATGAAAATAAAACATGAAATTGATATACTGAGAAAAAGGATTATTATTTTCTTTTGTGTCTATTTTTCTGAGTGTTTTCTGGCTAAGGAACCACAAGAAAACAACCAAACAAAACGTAATAAATTATTAAAAATACTGAGGAAAAGGAAAATTATTTCGTTTTGTATCTATTTTCTGCCTGAATTTCAAGGTTAAGGAAAGATAACCAAAACATATTAAAAAGAAAATATAGAGATAAACTTGTTTGAAAAAATAATGTAATAAATTATTTAAAATATTGAGAAAAAGGAAAATTAAAACTCGAAACTAGCTAAAGTATTTAAGAGTAGTATCTTATTAACTTGTTGATATCAATAAATAAAATTTACCTTTATTTCTTTCAGCAATTCAACCTAAGTACTGATTTCATACTCTTAAATACTAAGTAATAGTTTTTTTTCCTAATAAATAATGTCAACCATATAAATATTTCTTTCTATTACAGACAATTCTTTAAAATTCTAGTTATCTAAAAAAGATCCTTTAAAAGTGACAGCTATTTAGAATATAGTGAAAAAAATATTTAAAACATAATGGCAATTGTGAACCATAAAATTCAATTACTATCCTTCAAATAAAAACCACGAAGATAATATATTAAAGTGTTATTGAAAACTCGAAGAATGGTGAAATCTGCTACAAGCATACCGTTATCACACAATGACATCTATAGAGGGATAGAAAAGGTCCGCAGGGACATTATTTCCTGAGCCTCATAATAGAGGATTTTTTTTTTTATTGAATGACAATTTCATTCCAGAACAATTTTCTTTAATTATACAAGAACTACATTTTTTTTCTGTATTTAGTCAAAATTTCCTTTTATGGATTTATATAATTAATTGCATTAATACACTTTGCCATGCCTAAGCAATATTATGTATATATTTGTTATTTACTTAATTTGTTTTTGGGAGTGCTTGATATTGTATTTATATTCAGTTGGCAAATTATTCAACTGATCATTAGAAACAATAAACATGATGACAGAAATAGATAGACATGATGAAACTATATTTTTTTTTTCAAAGAAGTTGGTTGCGAGTCCAGTAGAAGATGAACGTGTATGTAAAAAATGTTTACTTTCTGTTTTCTGATGTTTTAGTTTTAGGCTTTCATCAAGATTAAGTAAAGACAATATAAAACAAGCAATAAGAAAGAGAAAGAAAAAAAAAAACATAATAAAAATAAAATAAAAAGGAAAATGGTAATGATAAATCAAACATTTATGTGTAAATAATCGAAATAAATAAATAATCAGATATGAATGAAATATCAGAAAAATTAAAATATATGACTGATAATAAATAATGGCAAAACAACAAAATAAAAGAGAAGTATTCCGATCCCTTAAATTATAAAAAGTATTCTTATACTTACATAGACTTATACATTTTAATTTACCCAACATAATATAATTTTTCATTCATATTTCAGTATTGCTTCATTCATTAATTATACATGAATATTTATTTTTTATTTATCATTAACATTTTCCTTCTAATATAATATATAATTAATATAAATTATATAACTAATATAATATAATTATATAAATAAATACATTTATATAAATCTTCAGCCTTACCCCTGGTTTGTGCATCCAAAGCACAACCCGCTCCAGATGCACCACCGCCGATGATGAGCACATCGAACGATTCATTCTTTAATGACTTTAACTGTTCGCTTCGAGGAGGAAGAGGTCGCTTAACTAATTTAGCATTACCTGAACTGGCGTGTACTTTTAATTTCTCATCTTCCTAAACAAAGATATATGTTATTAATAAAAGAATAAATTTCCGTAACAAAAAAAAAAAACTTAATTATTTAATTTTATTTATATTTATTTTTCATCAAGATACATATAATATAAATATAGTTAATAAACTTTTCAGAAACTATAATTTATTAGAAAATACTGAAAATATTCATATCAAACAAATAAAATAAAATTATTTTAATTTATTTTTCATGACAGTTTTTTGAGATTTCAAAGGAAATTCTTATATCTGTACATCAAAATTAGGAAAGGATAAATTTAATTACAAGAACTTGTTTTTGATAATTATGGTGAGTATTAGTAGGTCACTGATTAGGACGCATGAGCTTGAACTATTTATTGAATTCTTTTATAAATAACTATTTGCTAAAATATATTTGCAAATGATAACAATTAATTTTTTTTAACAATAATTATGAGGAATAAATTCCATTAAAATTAGAGCTTGTTTATTTTATACAATAGAAGCATTCTTTACGTATTTCACTTACTATAATGAGTCAATTAACAATTACTTGATAATTAAAAAATAACGTTTAGAATAAATTAATTAAAAATATGTTCATTGATGAGAAACTTAACATATAGTTGAATTCATGATAAAAATTATCATAATTAATTTTATGTATATAGAGAAATTATGCCAATTTCAATTAACTTTATTTCCACCTTGACTTGAATATGTTTTTTTGAATTACTGAATACATTTTTTTATACATTATCACACAAATAAAATACACAAAGTATTTATAAAAATTTGATTTAGAAATAATCTTAAAGAGGTCAGTAATATATTACATTTAATAGTGATCAAGTATCAGTGAAATAAAAATGTTTAAATAATTGTGACACAATTTTAATTAACTTGCATATTTTATAGACAATTAGCAAAATAAATGTACAAAGTATCGATAAAAATGTCATTTATAAAAAATTATTAGACAATTGTAATAAATCATGTTTAAGATTACAAACATTAGTGAAATTCACGTAAAACTTTTAAAAATATAATAGATTTGTGACACGATTTTATTTCATTTTATGGCTACCTTAATTTATTTTTTAGAATGATTGATTGAATATTTCACAGATAATATAACAAAAAAAATATGTACAAAATATTCATAAACATTTGATTTAGAAAGAATAAAGAGATATCGGTTATAAATTACACTCGAGATTGCAAATATATCAGTAAAATTCAAGTTTTGCGGCAAATTATTCAAAATATATATAAAATATTAAATATTTAAAAAAAAAACTTACAAGAAATGGAAAATCATTAATAAGCCATGAAGATAGATAAGCAGTTGATCCTGCTATAGCTGAACCAAAAGCAATTTTTGAGAATCTGGAGTGCATGATTCAAGTTTTCCTTGAACTAAGTCTTGTCATGCTCTTTCTGTGTCCTTAAAAATCTCTGCAAAACCTGCCCTGTCCATTACAGTAGTCACAACCAAAGCCTGCCAATAGACTAGATTCAGCAAACAGCAAAAAAGATAAGGCAACACACCTTTTTCCCTCTCTCTCTCATCCTGACCTTGGGTTTAACTATCACATAATTACATCTCCCTGAGCAAAAGAGTCAAAATTTGATACAAATAGAAAAAAAAATGATGATATATTTAAAGATTAGATTAACTTACTTTACTATTTACGTATAACAACAAAGTTAAATGCAAAATAGAGTCATTAATAGAACTTGGCAATCCAAGTGAGTATAGAAGGTTACTCATTGTTAAATTTGTCCACAGTTTTAAATGGAATTTGGATAAAGAAATTTAAATGTCAAACGTCTACAACTAGAAATACCGTCGGTCAAATTCATACCTGGCGGTGAAACTCCATTTTGATATCTATGGAATACTTCCCAATGTTTATTAAAAGATTATTTTAAGTGTTAGATAACAAAATTGACATATGTATAAATAATTTTATTCTAGTCCCCGATTATTTTTAAATGATCCTGTGTAAATCGACGTGGGGGTCCCTAAAATAAAAAAAGGAAAAAGGAAAAAAAAATAGATCTTCAACCTCAGTGTTTTTTATAAATTTATTTATAGAAATTTAAAATTGTCGTTAATTGAAAGTATTTTAATTACTTTTGAACTGTTATCAGTTAATTTCGCTGCGATTCAACTAGCTTTTGTTACTTAGCGACGTTGTTTACTGGTCGCTAAGATCGAATTAGTGTAACTGATATCAATTAACAAGTTTTATCGTTAATCGTTATCTGCATAATATGGGTGATACGATGACTTTTACTGCTGAAACTGCAAGAGGTAATGTTAAAATCATATCACATTTAAAAAAAAAATATTATAATTACCTTTTTATTCCATCAGAAAGATTGGGCTAATTTATGTTTTGATAACAGCTGCACTTGAAGGAATTTTGACTGCTTTAGAAAGTGAAGAAGCTTCTCAGAAGATAAATGAAGCTAAAGCCAATGCAAGCAATGATATGTTAAAGGTTATGCAGTATGTATTTCCTTTGGTGGTACAGGTTGAAATGGATGTTATTAAAAAATTTTGGTTTACTGATAACAGAGAAGGTAATGCCCCAATTACAAATTTTTATACTACATAGATTACTGGATCACCTTTCGCACTTCATCGTTTTCTCTTTTATTTTTAGGAATTATACAATTCACCCAAATGATAGTTGCTCTAGAAAAAGAAGATGATGTTATAGCAGACTTACATACTCAGATTAGGGCACATTACTTGCCTCCAGTTAATATAGCAACAGATGTTAGTCTTTGACAGAAGTAAGAATATTTATTATACAAATACAAATCATAAATTTTAAAGTTACTACTGTGCAAGTGATATTCCTATTAGATAGGAGTACAAGATTTCATGATCACACTATAATTGGAATTCCGATAATGGCTGAGTGAATCCGAAAGTTGAAGATTGTGTCAAACCATCTGGTAATGCCTTGACCTCAACAGAAAAAGGCCTATGTTGGCTTATTATCTTTTTTGATCCGAGTGGAACTCAAGAGCAGTGATATAATCAAAACTATTTAAGGCATAAATTTTAACTGAAGAGAAGGACCTGTTGGATGGGACTTTCCAGAAGTTGTTATTACAATCTAAATAAAGGGATGTTATACCTGTGACAGGTCAGTACTCAGTCATTCTTGGAATTTCATGCATTTTATGATCATGCGATCTTATGCCGAGCCATACAGTAGAGTAACATTTCTACAGCAGCGCCATTTAAATGGCTAGAAACTAGTGCTGCTTTGGGTGGTAGTTCTGAATCACTGGACCCATATGGTAACTGGTTTCAAGTTCATCTTGAACACACTTGGAATCCTGAAGCAACAAATATATATGACAGCTGATCTCTAAACCTTCCTAGCAGATATTTTACGTTTGGTTAGGTTACGTTTCCATTGCATTCACTTCTTTTCATATAAATAACAGCACATAGAGATTTATCCAAGGGTTGGTCGAAACAAACTTTCGTAAGAAATAAAACATAATTATTGTTTTTTTTTACCTGGAATTATCAAATACTATCAAAACAATACAAGGCACAATAGATAATTACAAAGCTAGGAATTAAATTATAGTGTTTGAGTTGAAACATTTGCAATCAAAATTAAATTTATATATAAAAATATATATATATATATTTAAAAACACTTAATGAGATTTATTGAGAAAATTATGTAAAAAGGTGCTTTTTCATAATGGTAGAAAATGCACTTGATTGTGGATAATTATTATTATTAGTGTGACTTGAATCCTGGCCTCCTACAGCAACTTCCACCAATTGCCTCGGTCTCTTATAGCCAACATCCAATTCTGAAGACTCAGTATGTTTGTTGCATCAGCAACAACACTATCAGTCCATCGCAACTTTGGTGTTCCTCATTTCCTGGTACCATGGAGTGGCTCCATCAGCCATATATATATATAACAATTTTATGTATATGTTATCTGTAATTTATGGCAAGGCAGTTCTGGAGTAGACCTTTCTCCAGATCAAAGCCATGTCTTTATAAGACGATAGTGCGTCCAGTCTTGCTGTATGGTTGTGAGACTTGGACTTCTTCTCAGGCATGTGAACAGGAACTGCTAGTCTTTGATAGAAGAATCCTCAGACTTATCTATGGTGATGTCCTCGATATGTCGTCAGGATGGGCAGCGAGGATCCACCAGGACAACTGCTGATGGAGCCACTCCATGGTACCAGGAAATGAGGAACACCAAAGTTGCGATGGACTGATAGTGTTGTTGCTGATGCAACAAACATACTGAGTCTTCAGAATTGGATGTTGGCTATAAGAGACCGAGGCAATTGGTGGAAGTTGCTGTAGGAGGCCAGGATTCAAGTCACACTAATAATAATAATTATCCACAATCAAGTGCATTTTCTACCATTATGAAATTTACATAACATACCATTTTCTACCTTTTTACATAATTTTCTCAATAAATCTCGTTAAGTGTTTTTTAGGCTTTGTTGTTAGGACATGTTTGCCATTTGTATATGAATATGATTATTAATACTCCTTTAATTTTGGAATTTCATTTACAATGTGCTCAAAGTGATCTTGAAAACAGCCACCATCTTGTAGTAATTTGGAACTAGTACCTTGTTTCTAATATTTTATAAAGTTTTCTATTTCATAATAATTATAATGTATTACAGAAATATTATTACTCAAATAACACATTTATTTTCCAATCTTTACATAAGTACACCATGATCAAGAATGAACAGCTTGTTGTTTGGTTGCCAAGTAACGTCATTACAAAAAGATAATTGATTAGAATTTATTAAAAGTAAATTCGGTAATACAATTTATAGCTCAGAATATGGTAAGTCATTGGGCTTCTTCGGTACACACAAATTCAATATTAGCTTATACGCTTCCTCGTCGCATGAATTAAGAATTAGCGCCCACTTGGTCTTCCCGCTTTCCAGAGAATTTATTGTTCAATCTTCATTTGACTTATTTCAAAATTAAAAATAATCATTTCTTGAGGTATTTCCCTTTACTTATGGGACATCCAATACTGCTTTTTCTGCATCCTGCTCTAGATGAAGAAGTAATGGGAAGAACTATCTTAAATTTGTCCGTGCACTTTATAGTCACTACAATATTATTTATGGAACGCTACAGCTTGATCGATGTTTATGTTTACTATTCCATAATAAATCAGCAAATTTTATTATTGCTAGACTTTCTGGCAAGTTTGAAAATGGCCTTAAATTTGAAGAAAATTAAATTGTTCAGTAATTTTCACGATTAGCAGTTATAAATGAAAAAGTGTGGTTCTTTTACATAGTAGTACAACTTATTGTATTACTATAAATGTCAGCTAAAAAATCAAAAAACAGTTATATAACCATCATTCCATAAAATAAAATTTCTTCTTAAGGAAGGTGGGTTCGATAAAAAGCTGTTTATATTTTAATCCAATTATCAATAATTCTTGTTTTTGATAAATCATTGATACGTTTTAATCAGTTTTAGACATGAGATATTAGATCCTACCACGAAACATGTATTAACATTTTGTATTGTAATTATTTTCCTTATTCTTAAGAAAGTAGGCTGATCAATCTAAGATCAGGTAACTACGTATAATTATCTAAAGTAGTGATTTGATTATCGTTTACACTTCCGGGGATTTATTATCTATTGCTAAGCATTTAGATAAGTTATCAGTAATTTGATCCTATAAGTACATCATTCTTTTTAATGCACATTTCTGTTGTAATCCCTTTATCATTTGTTTTTTTAATTCAACCTCTCAGAAATGGCTTTATAAAATTAAATATCAACTTAAGCAGAATCACTCCTTTTCTACCTCATTTTCCCAGATTCTATAACTTAAATTAAAAAAAGAATATATATAAAAATAACATGTTTAGATAAATTATTTATTTATTTCCAGTAATAAAGAGAAAGTTTTCATGCAAGAATATTGTTATTCCATTTAATAAGATTGGGATGGCATAATAATAAAAATCGTCCAGAAATAAAATATTGCTTCATTGTTGTTATTTATGTATAAGCTTAGTTATTTGCAAAGGTTCATTGTTGAAAAAAAAAATTTAAAATTCTATATGTTGTATATTTACTAAAAAATGGTCCAATTTTGATTATTTAATTACCTTCCAAATAACTATTTGTATAATCAACCAATAAAATATTGAGAAAAGAGATGATCATAAAAAAAATTAAAATATTCAAAATTATTAAATTTTCAACAGGTTCCCTCAAACATCCCAAGTTCGAATTCGGCTGATGACTAATAATTTTTAATCAGCCGTGGATCGACCCTAGTGTTGGGAGACCCTCTTAGGGCAAGTGGGTACTCTTAATTAAATAGTTAATTAATAGGGAAAACCTGGCGGTTGAGCGTGATATCAATCCAATCACCTCCATGCACATCCGTTGGCCTTGTAGCAGTACTTCCTCGCATTGAACTGCACCCTTCATGGGTTGTAGTGGTACACATAGACATAAAATTATCATTACCAATTTTATTTACTTTATTTCAGTTTCTGGTTACTTAGTTTTATATTTGAATTTTTTAAATACTTCTTTTACTCTGTTTATATTTTTTATTGCTCTTAATACTTTTATATACTTTCTATTTACACTCGTTATAATTTTTATCTAAATATTTTTCCCACAGTTTTATATATCCTTTTGTATCTTGTTCATTCTAGCCCTGATGAAATATATTTATCTAGACCTGCATAGTTGGGTCTAAACGTTGACTTAAAATTGATTTCATTGTTTTAAGGGCTTTTAAAACCACCGCCATGTACCATCTCTTTCCTCAATATTATATTACGGTCAACTATTGTGTACTCAATAAAATAAATACTTTTTGCATTATGGGCAAATTAATTATTCTTTTCTTCATAACTTTATTCCTGTTTTTTTCTTGAGGATGTACTATTTACATACTATATAAAAGATATTTTTTGGCAATTGTGCTATCCCTATTAAGTGTAAGGTAACTGATTCAGTACACAGGTGTCCGAGGACAAAATCCTAAAGTATAAAAAAAAAGAAGCAATAAAATTCAAGAGATTATGTTGACGCAGACAGATACATTTTGCACAAATTTTACCTGCTTTAGCAATAATATATGAAATTTTCTATTTATCTGCAACTTTACATGACTAAACCTATCCAACTATATATCTTATTTACCCTTTATAAAAATTATTTTTGCCTATTAAGATATAGACTTACGTTATTCCAACAATTTTGATAAATAACAGCAACAAGAAATTTAACATTTTATTTATCAATGATATATACTTTTGTTATTTTAAAAATTATAATTCTCACCGGAGGTCTGGTGGTTTATTAAAATACTATACAACTGTTCACTTAACAATATTCCAAGACACTTGTTGACAAAATAATTTGTATATAATGTAATCTTTTACTGATAGCTGTTCACAACTAACCTTTGTCATAACGAACAATAGGTCATTTCTTGCCTATTAAAGCTCTTCCTTTATATAGTCGTGGATCCTCGTCAAATCGTTATTCTACATTTTTCCACCAAATATTCTACATTTTTTTATTTTGGGTTTTCTAAATTTTTGTCACTATTTTTATACCTTTCATCACATAAAACCATTATATTATTATGAAAAGTTGGTCAGGGGGTGCGGTCAAATAAATACTAAATTGTCAAAGTAGTATTTTAATCGTTACTCCGATGTTTCAACCCACTTTGTAGGTCTTCATCAGGGCTACAAAAGATACAAAATATAAAAGGTATATGGTGAAAATAAAATAAATGAATTATCAGTATATAGCTATTATTTATCTACTAATAATTCATTTATTTTATTTTCAACGTCAGCGCAACAATTAAAATACTATTTTAACAGTTTAGTATTTATTTGACCGCACCCCCTGACCAATTCCTTCTCATACTATAGCACGGTCAACCATCTCTACACCATCATTATATTATTAAATTTAATATTAAAAAATTATAATTATTTAAATTCAGTAAATTATTATTGTTACGTAAAAGCATATTTTAATTAAATTTCAATAAATATATAGGTAAAATCACTAATAAATTTAAAAAAAAATGTTTTAACTCACTTATTTCTCCTTTTTCACCTTTGTTCATGAATATAGAATTTCTAAAAATATAACTAATAATTTATGTACTGTGTTTTGGAGATCAATGTCTAGTAATTCAGAAATGTATTTTATGAGGATTTCTTATTTTTATTATAATTATTTTTTTTTTAGCAATAGGCTTCTTCATTGTTGAATTTGGGATGAAATTATGAAGCTGACCATAAAAATAATTATTTTTCTTCACAATGCTTTAAGACATTTCCTTTGAACAGGATTGAGTGAGCAAGGATTGTTTGATTAAAAAATATGTGTATTAGGTTTTATATTTTTAATGTGATAGATCAAGAATCAAGTTCCGTGGTTGTCGGATAGCTATTTACTCACGCAGAATATCAACTTGTGGTTCAAGGTCCTCAGAATGGCCCAAATCTTCTTGGTTTGTGGATTTCCCTTGATCGTAAAGCTCTTTTCCTCCCAATTTCGTATTTCTTGCTTTATATCAGATTTGATCAATTAGACTGTAAAGCATTGTTTTTATTAACATGTGTTTTGTTTTGTTTTTTTTCAAGTTCTACAGAATTGTAAATATTTTTAATTTTTGAACATTATTCATGTTTTGAAAGAAATGTACCTATGTCATGAAGGCTGCGTTAACATATTTTCAAACATGCCCATACGCAAAAATAATAAAAAAATATACATATATTATTTTTTAATAACACATAAACATGTATATAAATGAATATTTAAATATACAGTAAATTACATTGATTATGCTAATTTGAATGTATATTTTTTATACATAATATAAGCGTCTGCCTCTTTTTTATTTGTTCATTTTCAAAAACCTCCCTCCCGCCCCAATCAAAATGAAAAAAAGATCCTTTGCTGTCAGTAAGCAATGGTATATTGTGGAATGTATGGCTATGCATACATTAAATATGTGTTTATATATATATACACAAACATTTAAACAAAGTTTGATATCTACCTGTTATCATTAGTACAACCAAAGAACTTGATTATTGAATTGAAATTTATGTTAGATTTAATTACACTTCTAGGCATTCTATGTTAAATATTGGGATTTTTTTGTATTTTGTCAGTGATTAAAACATACTTGTATCAGTGTTTCTTTGTTGTTGTGACTTCAGTGTTATCTTAATATTGGGAAATTTTTACTTTAATTAATTATGTTAATCTTCCTTTAAACAAATTACCACATTCTCTGCAATATAAATATAAATATTTATTTTATCAGTAAAGATTAACAGTATTAAAACAATAATCAAAATTTTTTAAGCAGGTTTTCATAATTAATGTGAAACAAATTACTATTCAAATAAACTCTGCTTTAAGACCGCACTTTATTAATTTACAAAATCAATTAATTTTATTAATTAGTACAATTTGTTGTTTTTTTAATTATAAAGCTTATGTTTACTTACTAATGTATGTGATACTTATTACTAAAATATATTTTTAAGTTATTTATTTTTTTTAGTGTCTATATGTTATTTTATTACTTATTAATATAATATTCCAGTTATGTGATTTCAAGTCTAAATGCTTTCTTATCATCATTCCATTTATGGATTTTCATAAGTGATATTAGTTATACGTTCACCTCACACTGCATCACAGGTATACGAGGAGTGAATATCATGATGATGTTAGTTATAATTTATCTCAGTAACTTGATTATATATAATATGAATTTATTTACAAACATATGGCTATGTTTTTTTTTTGTATTAAATTATTTAATACTTGTATAATTTTATTTTGATTACCAACCATAGTTTTGTTTTTAACTAATGTTGATTGTTTTATTAGATTATATTTTTACAAAATAAATATTTTATTGATTTTCGCAGTTTATTATGAAAACAGAATCCCATTTCTTCCACATAATAATTTATTAAAATATCTGCTTTTCATACTCAGTTTATAATAGGGTGTATAAAAAAAAAATAACCATTTTATTTTGTCAAATTAAGATTTCAAAGTCTGTAAATATTTTAATACTTACCAATAGTGCCTTTAGAGTATTCTCTAAGCTTGTTTAATCCCATTTGACTTTTTTTTAAAAAACCCACAGTTTATTTATATGTTCGAAAGAAGAAACTTAGAGAATAAATTTTAAGGTATTACTGGAAAAAAAATTTCAGTCACTGAAGCAAGTCGTGAAATTATTAAATATGAAGGGAAGGTGTCTTTGACCAGCACACTGTGTGGTGTTGGTTTGAAAAATTTAGCAGTGGCACAGGCTTTCGGGCTGAAGCCCCCCCAAAATGGTAAAATTTAACCATGTTTTACAGAAAAAATTATTAAAAACTATCTCTTAAAGTATTCTTTTTCGTGTAATTATATTTAATAGAACTTCAAGAACCACTTAAACACCATTTCATATAGGTAATTAATTTATTTTTTCAAATTAATTATCGTTATATGTATACGAAAAAAAAATCTTTCGGGTGAAGCCTCCCCCAAAATTAAATCCTGGATCTGCTAGTAAGCAGTGGAGATACGTCGGAATGGAAGAAGAGCTCTGGGCGACCATTAATGAATATTGATGAGTTTCTGCAGGAAGCTGTTGAGTCAAGTCCATCCACAAGTACTCGCGAACTTAACAGGGAGTGTGATGTGTCGAAATATACTGTTAGTCGCCATCTGCTCTCCATGGGAAAGGTGAAAAAGAGCAGTAGACTGGTCCCTCACAAACTTACTCCTCAGCGATCAGCCAAGAGACTAGAAATTTTTGAAAATTTATAGAAAAACTCCTGCCTCATCCACCATATAGTCCAGGCCTCGCACCATCGGATTACTACTTATTTAGATCCATGGTCCATTTTCTTCAAGGGAAAAAATTTGATAATTTTGCAGAAGTTGAAATTGTGGTCCAAGAGTTCTTTACGGCCAAGCCAAAGAATGGTATCAGCGTGGGAACAAGCAGATGGCTAATGACGGTAGATAACTATGGACTATACTTTGAGTATTAATTATATAATTATGAGTTTTATATCAAAGAAATAATAATATAAATATTTGGTTGAAAAATGGTAATTTTTTTTTTTATACAGCTTAATAATAATGTAAAGAGAGAAAAAAAATATGTGTATTGTGTCCATATAGAAAGGTTAGTCTGTCCCTGATAATGTTACCATAAGACTTTTTAGGTAAATCTGAGTACCGAGTACCAAATATTTTACTCAAATTTAATCACTATTGGGAATTCAATCACTACTTCAGTTAATCGTTTGACATCAAGTGAAGTAATAATTAAATTCTTTGGTACTAAAAAAAAGGTTAGTATTTGAGTAAAATAATGGATACTAAGTACTCAGAGTAATATTTGTCCATCTCTGCCTGGTGAAGTTGTTCTAGAAGTAATGTTTTGTAAGGATTAAACACACTTACTGAATTTAAAATCTTATTGTATCATCAATGTTAGTTTTTAGATTTAATTTATGGATCGCTGAGTGAGCTGGCTAAGGATGTGCAAAACACCCATTGCCCAATGAAAACAAAATAAAATAATCAGGAGTTCCGGTACACAGGGGTACTTTTAACTCTGGTATTGATTCCCTGCTCTCTCACTGAAACAAAATTGCTAATTCTGGAGCAGGGCATTGCCAAACCTGAATTGAAGAAATAATCAAAATTTTAATGATTTTGAGCTATCGAAAAATTCTAAAGATTAGTTGTGGACTTTACAGACTTAGATATTTTGTCACTTTCACCATCTCTCTTATCTTAAGCTCCTGCTTTCCAATCATTTGCATGCAGTATCTTTATTTATCCATAAGAGATACTATTTTTAAAAAATATCCTCTACCTGAACATTTCTGACTCAGGTGGGAATTATCCCAACAGTAAGCAACCTATTCTAACTACAAGGTTGAAAGATGGTCGGGCCATGAATAAATTTCAACCATCTCAGGCTGGATTCGAATCTGAGTGATTCAAGAATGCTAAGATTATGAAGCTCTAACACTGACAGCTTCAATAATACGTTATTTGTGTTTTTTAATTTAATATATTTTTTCGCATTCTCATCTAACATTTTCCATCTCCCTTTTTTTACAGACACTTGTATTGAGCACTAGCGGATCCAGGATTTAATTTTGGGGGGAGGGCTTCAGCCCGAAAGCCTTTTTTTTTCATAAAAATAACGATAATTACTTTGGAAAATAAGAAAGAAACTAACTACCTATCTGAACTGGTGTTTAAGTGATTCCTAAAGCCCTTTCAAATGTAATTATATGAACAATTATTCTCTAAGAGATAATTTTTTAATATTTTTTTCGATAAAACATGGTTATATTTTACCATTTTGGGGGGGGGGGAGCTTCAGCCCGAAAGCCCTCCCCCCCCCGTAGATTCGCCCGTGGTATTGAGGAGAGGAGAGGGAGACTTTCTCCTGAAGCCATACCCTCAAAATAAAAAGGTGTAACCATGTTTTATGATAAAAAATATTTTAAAAATATCTCTTGATTATTATTCGTATAATTACATATAATAGGACCTCAAGAATTACTTAAACACTATTTTATATATGTACTTAGTACCTTTCTCTTTTTTCCAAAGTAATTATCGTATATATTATATATATATATATATATATATATATATATATATATATATATATATATATATATATGAAAAAAAAAGCTTTCGGTCTGAAGCCCCCTAAAATTAAATCATGGATCATCCCCTTCCCCTCTCAAAAATGGTAAAATGTAACTATGTTTTATGGAAAAAAATAAGTATTATTGTTCGTGTTTAATGTAATTATTTAATAGGACTTCAAGAATCACTTAAACACTATTTTGTATTGGTAGTTAGTATCTTTATCTTTTTTTTTTTTTTTAAGTAATCATAGTTATATACATGAAACAAAATCATTCGCGCTGAAGCGCGCCCCCCAAAAATTGGATCCGCAAATGATCTGTGCTGTAGCTCGTAACGAAAGTTAATTTTCAAAATTTTGAAGAAAAAAAATTACCCCAGTAAAATTAAAAGGCAACCGGGAGTCGAATTCGTAATTTTCAGTTTATCTGGTTGCCGGGCAACACGTGTTTAGAACACGTGTTGACTAGTTCGAACACTCCACTCCTTAATTAATTAATTAATTATGATTAACAATAGATAAATCGACTTTGTTCAAATTATGTTGAAAATATACCGCCATTCCGATCTTAGTTTTAGAGATGGGTAAGTAGTCGACTGATCAATTTTAGGAGGAAAAAAAATTGTCAAGAATTTCAGTAAAGATTTTTAAAAGATAAAACAGATATACATGTGTTTCGGTATGTGGGTGATGCTTTTTTGGGGGAGAGGAGGGAATTTATAATCCTTTCGATTTTCTTTTAAAAGATAAACGTATATACATATGTTTCAGTAGGTGTGTGATAATTTGTTTTACTTTCATTTTTTTTGGGGGGAGGGGGAGGAGAGGGCAAAATGGTCAGTGTGTGTGTTAACAGGTCTAGCTTAAAAACGAAAAGTCGTACGAAAGTGAAGTTGCATATTTAAGGCTTTTATATGCTAGAGATGTTACAGCAACTTTTTCGTCAAAATCGATTAACCGAAACTTTATATAATTGGCTAAACACATATTTACGATTTTCTCGAAAACGGCTTTAACGATTTTGATTAAATTCTTCATATTGGTATAAAATTTATCAGTTTTAAATAAAATGTAGTTTTTATTCTGATTGGTGTTCTTTAACAGGGCTTAAACGGCTAATTTTCAATATTGGCTTCCTCTAAAGTACCTTTAATTTTTTTTTATTTGAATCAATTGACCATTTCACATTAATCTCTAATATAAAAAAGATAGTTAAATACAAAATATGACAGAATTAGATAATTAACTAAAGGAGAAATGAGAGATCGTAACGGAGAATAGTTGTAATTGAGGAATCAAAGGAATCGAGCTCGTCCAAATGATTAGAACACGCTTCCAT